GGGCTGCCCTCTGGTCCATTGTTATGCTGCAGTTGGCATGGCCGCCTATAGGCTGCCACACAAACTGCAGCATGATGACAGTCATACACAAATATACATAACAGAGAGATTATATAAAATCGAAACCTGATGCATCTGGAAAAACAGAAGTGAATTCTTTGTTACACCCAGATTAGTTTTGGCAATCTGAAATCTGCTGCCTTTTTCTAAAAGTGCAGTTACCCAAAACACTATTTTCTTCCTGTCTTTTCCCCTTGTCAAGTATGCCAGCCTGTTCTTAAGTATATGTGTGATCCTGCCATCTCCCTCTGCTTCTCTATTATATTCATGATGTTTAGCTTGTTAAATGTTGAATATCATCTGCCTTTTGGCAGGAGGTGACGGGGAGGTAAAAACAGAGTTAAGAAGAATGGGCATTTTTCTCATATTACATTGCTTAAGCGACATCTTCAGAAGGAAAAAACAACAACATAGGCTGTTGCACAATGGCAAGTCAAAGGGGTAAGAAATACTGCAGCAGCTAATTAGATAAGGAGGCACTGTTCCAGCAATGGTACAAGGGGATGATGCTCTGACACCAGGACCTGGTTATACACCAGACCCAACACTCAAATAGGAGCAGCCCACCTCTTATTCAATCTGGGTGGGTAGAGGGATAGGGCTGCTGTTGCTGGTTTCTCCATCATCCTGCAAAGAGGTCAAAGATTGTCAGGTTCCTTGTAATTTTCACCTTCATAACCTTGGCTGGAAAGAAGCTGAAGCTTTCTCAGTCTGAAGGTCATGTGCCTCTTGATCAATACAAGTTCATGAATATGGAGGGCACTGTGCACCTATTATCTCATTAATGTGCACCCAAATGCACTTTATGCCTCCTTTGTCCAGAGACGGTTTTCATCAGTGTCAGAAATGAAATCAACATGAAGGATGGGCTCTTGATATAGAAAATAGTTTGGTATACTTGGTATATGAAACAACTACTAAATTGCCATTATTTTTCAACCAGATATGGGGATTTTTCTTCATGCCTTCATTTTTCCTGTTTTAATCTTCTCCCTTGCTATGTGGTGTGTGTTTTTTCTCCCCCTCCCTCCCTCTCTCTCTCTCTCTCTCTCTCTCTCTCTTTCTTTTTACTTCTTTCAAGGTCGCCTGCTCCCACCTGCAGGAGTACATTTAATTTTTCACCAGAGATATCAGAAGTGTGTCTTATTATTCCTGGTATAAGGTTTTTGCCTGCTCATTTTATTCAACATATGCTCCGTTGCATCTGGCCCAGGCCTACTGGGATCACAAAGTGTTAAGACACCAAGACTGCCGGCAAGATGGCCCTCTGTTTTCTTATTAGCAATTAAGCTGATGAACATCAATTTCTGTGCAAGATCCATCATTTTCAGAACGATCAAAACGGCTCAGGAATGGTTTATGTTGGAAGCCTATGCAGCACTCTATTTAGAAACCTTACCCCATTAGTTTGAAATTCTGTAGATTCTCATGTACGGTTTCACACTTCTTTTCCTCAAGGCATTGTGAAAATAGGAACTATGTGAGCACCTTTGACATCCCACTAAAGTTAATGCGAATCTGCCATTTATATTATAGATTGGGATTACATCCTTTATGGCTTGGCGTTATGAGCTACCTGGCTAACATCAGAACAAAGGGATAACTCATTCCCTTGAGTCCTAGCACCTACTTTAGAGATGAATTACTAAAACAAGATCAGATACTCTGTGGCATTACTAATTCCCTCTAGGGCAGGGGAGGCTAACCCATCGCCCTCCTGCCATTGCTGGACTGCAACTCCCTCCAGCTCCAGTCAGCATGGCGAGTAGCCAAGAGGATTGGGAGATGTGGCACAGCAACTTCTGGAGGGTCAAAGGTTAGCCGCTCCTGCTCTAGGGCTCTAATGGTCACTGTGTTGTGGAATGCTGAGCTGTATTCAGGGGAGAGAGGTTGTTGAGCCTGAGGTTCTGCTGCTGGCAAAACCACGCCAAAGCAGATTGGACTTAACAGGAACTGTACTGTATGAATGTTATTTATTTAAAGGCATTTTTTTATATGCCACTCAATATTTCAAAAAAAAAAATCTTTAAGCAGTGTACAGTCTAAAAAAACAAACAATATAATGTTAAAACGAAAATACAACCTAAAACCAGGAAAATAACAATATTTACAAAAACTAATAAAGCAAATCCAGAAGATTCAGACATGTAAAACAATGTCCAGTCTTACGTATCAGGGAAGGCCTGAGAAAAAGGATAAGTCTTCAACGAGACAGCTGAAGCAGCTGATGGTTGCTGCTTCACATATGGCAAAGGAAAGAGCGCTCCGCAGTACAGAGGAAACAGCAGAAAATGCCACCCCACTATAATATTTTGTAGGGTGCGGTGCCTGGAGTGGAATTTCCCCAAATGATTTAAGTGAGCTTACAGGTCTATACCCGCGGCGGGGTGCGCTCCCGTTGTTCGGTCCCAGCGCCTGCCAACCTAGCAGTTCGAAAGCACCCCCAGGTGCAAGTAGATAAATAGGGACCGCTTACTGGCGGGAAGGTAAACGGCGTTTCTGTGTGCTGCGCTGGCTCGCCAGATGCAGCTTTGTCACGCTGGCCACGTGACCCGGAAGTGTCTCTGGACAGCGCTGGCCCCTGGCCTCTTGAGTGAGATGGGTGCACAACCCTAGAGTCTGTCAAGACTGGCCCGTACGGGCAGGGGTACCTTTACCTTTACCTTACAGGTCTATACACTGGCTGGAAATATAGAATAATAGAATTGTAGAGTTGAAAGGGACCCCAAGGGTCAATTGTCATTTCAGGTACTTTTGTGACACACTGTACCTTACTAACGATGTCATCACGCCAAGCCACTGCAGAAGGCCTCTGAGCATTTATGGATAGGTTTGCCCAAGGACCACCTAAACTGCAACCACCCCATTAGATTCCAGAATGTTTAGTGGAACTATAGATTCCAGAATACAAAACAAATCCCCGAAGAGAGGCACAAAAGTTTAGCAAGCATATGCTGGAACATGTAGGTGGATCTAGGGCAGAATCAGGTGATTCTGTCCGCCTTTGCTTCAGGGTTTCACATCAAAACCAACTGTCTTGCAGAACAAACGTGGTTAACTGTCTGCAGAGTCTTTCTCAAAATAATAAAAAAACTCAAATTATTATATTTATATGCTGCTTTCACCCAGTATGACATACAGGTGGTTCTAAGACAATGATCAGACTCAGGCCTGCATCCTTTTAGCAAGGTTGCAACATAATGCTACCTTCATGTCTTTGCTTGGGTCACAGCCAATATCTATTACGGCTAAGCTTCTACTGAGTGATAATACTCATTTCATGATTTATGAACACTAGTGATTTATATTACAGTACGTTAGCCTTTTCCATTATTTGAAGAAAGGTGTTTCAGAAAAAATCTGGCAAAGCTATTATGCCAAATAAAGATTTCTATAAATGTTAGAATTTTTCATGTGTTCCATTGAAAAAGAGATTTTAATAATAATAACTGTTCTGGTTGGTAACATTTTGGATTGCCCACCTTTTTGACTTCAGTGTGTACTCAGTGTATATGGTGAGCTTTGATGTAAAATGGCTGTCACTCATCCTGTACCCACTTACTTGGAAGTAGACCGATTGAATGTTTATTTCTGTTGAATGCAGATATTTATATATGATTATGCTGTACATGCACATGGTGGAATGTTTGCCATTAACATGTTATATTAGTATAAGATTGTAACCCTTTGCTCATTACCTAGGAATAAGTCCCATTGTTCTCAAAGGGATTTTCTTCCGAGTAGACATTATTTGATTGCAATTTAAGGAAATGAAGGCATTTTACACTCTGGCTTTCTGCTATAAAAGCCCACAAGGAACATTTCAGAAGCAATTAAAACAGCATAAAAATACCCAGAATAAGAACAAATGAAGACTGCAAACCTGTGCACACTTACTTTCCAGGGAGTAAGCCCCATTGTATGCAACATAAGTTAGTTTTAAATAAGTATGCATTGGATTGCACTGAAAAACATAAGCCCAAGCGGAGCTAAAAGCAATAACAGCTAATAAATCTCAATTGTCATTAGGTTTAATTGCATCCCCTCTCTTCATCTCTACAAATAGTAGCTAATAATTAGGGCTGTGTAGCCTATTTGTGCCAGATCTGGATTAGGTTGTGGCAGCTACAAATTGCTACAGAGCGGGGGGGGGGGGTTCAAATCAATTTGTGCTGATTTGTGCCGATCCAGAACTAAAAACAGAAACAAAACACCAGCCTCTCTAAAGCCGCAAAGACTATCTCCAAGATGTTTCAATTAATTACAACACCATTTCAGAAGAACACCAGGGTTAGGCAAAGACAGGAATTGGCTCATTGTAGAGTTGTAGAATTTCATTCAATACTCTCAAACACAGTGTTTAGGAAGAGCGAAGGCAAAGTTTCAAGATGCAGCAAGCTCACACTTCCCCTACACTTTTGTAAATACCGTCTCTTTGAAATAGTTTGGTGGCATTTGTTCAGTTCCCTATCTGGCCTTAAAGCTGTTTGTTTCCCATCCTTTCCAATTCAATCCCAGCCCCATCCTTATACCCCCCCCAAAAAAAGGTTGTTGTCTGTGTCTTAGCCATTGTTACATAGGCAGTGTTACTTTCCCTTATTCCCTCTGCCCCCAATTTTGGCCCTAGTTTTTAAGCTTAGGTTTGCATTTGATTTACAGCTGTGTCTGTTTCTATGTCCATCTTTATTGGTATTTTGGGTGTGGGTGGGTGTAAATCTTGTGGGTACATTGCACATAGTCCAGTACACTGTTCATGGCCATGAGAGTACAAAATTCAGAATTATGGATCCAGATCTGGATTGAACTGGAATATAGGGTCATGGTGTATTTCCTCACCATGGCAGATTCTACACTTCACTGCCGTTAATGTGAGGCAAAGGAACCAACAGTCAGAAAAGATTGTATTTGCTACTCAGTGTATATTTCCATGTCTCTTTCAGATCATTGGCTCTTCAGTACTTGTGGTGCTAATGGACCTCAAGGGCCCACCCAGACCCAATGCAATGATGCCTATAGGAACTCCAATCTCAGTGTAGTGGTAGGGACGGAGGATAATTTTCCAGGTGTACAAGTGTGGAGAGTGCCTGCAACCAATACTTACAGGTAAGAGTTCTATTATTTTCATTAGTTCCAGAGGACTTTCCAAGCCTTTTCTCTGAAACCTATTATCCAAGCCTGGGCTCATCTCTTGAGCATGAAAAGCAGTAATGAAGAGAGTGTCAAGGAGTGTGTCTAAACTGCCTTCCCATTATCACCAAGGACTGGAGCTAGAGTTTGCCAAGTTTTAAAGAGGCACACATCTGCAATCTATACCATATTGTGCCTGCGGCAGTGACTGGCTTGAGGGCATGCAGTTGCTCAAGGAATTCAATAAAGATTGCCTAGAATATTCCTAGATGTACCAAATGATTGTCCATCAGAATACTTGGTCATAAAAATGGACAAAGGAGAGAATAATATTGAGTGGTGCCCAGGCTCTGGAGTAAGATGCATATGTGTGTTTATTCAATTTCTATTCCTCCCTTTCTCAAAGTTGCCTGGGACAGCAAACACCAAAGGCAATTGAAAACAAAATAAAAAAACCCATTTAGAAATTGTTTTTAACAAAGAAATCAAAAACATCTAAAAATATCTCCATACCCTCACACCTAATAATGATAAGTGTGTCAGGATGAGTATATTTCAGCAATCAAATTTCTGGGTAAAGTGGAATATTTGTAAGTTCCTCCTGGCCGTAAATACAGTCATACCTTGGAGGTTGAACAGAATCCATTCCAGAAGTCCGTTGGACTTCCCAAATGTTCAGAAACCAAAGTGTGGCTTCTGATTAGCTGCAGGAAGCTCCTGCAGCCAGTCGCAAGCCATGGAAGCCCCGTCGGACATTCGGCTTCCAAAAATAGTTCGAAAACCGGAACACTAACTTCTGGGTTTCGATCGTTCGGGAGCTGATTTGTTCAGGAGCCAAGGCATTTGAGAACCGAGGTACGACTGTAATGAAAGAAACAGGTGCACCTCACCAGGGAGGGGAGTCCATAGATGGGGAACAACCACCAAGAAGGCCATGTCATGGGTCAATGCCAACCACACAGCACCCAGTATTAGCACCACCAGCAGGGCCTCCCCTGACAATCATAAGGCTTGAGATGGAATGACCACAGTACCATCAAATTCAATATATATGTAATTAGAAAGTTGCCAAGACAGGTCAGCATGGCTGCAGTTGATTTTAAAAGAGAGAAAAAGTTTTTGAAAGGAAGTTGAAAGGGAGAACCAGGAAGGTCAAATATTTTCAAAATGTTTGGAGGCAATTTAAAACCACAATGATAGATGTTTAACTGGGGTGTGATTTAGAGGGTAGTGAGTTATGTTTTTTGGGGGGGTCACCTCTCATTTTTTAGTGGGATGCGTTGGATTTGTCTTTTTCTATATATTCTTGGATGAACATGTTTAAGTATGCTGTTGTTGTTTAGTCGTTTAGTCGTGTCCGACTCTTCGTGACCCCATGGACCAGAGCACGCCAGGTCCATGCTGTATTTCTATTATTTTCATTAGTTCCAGAGGACTTTCCAAGCCTTTTCTCTGAAACCTATTATCCAAGCCTGGGCTCATCTCTTGAGCATGAAAAGTAGTAATGAAGAGAGTGTCAAGGAGTGTGTCTAAACTGCCTTCCCATTATCACCAAGGACTGGAGCTAGTTATCTACTTGCACCTGGGGGTGCTTTCGAACTGCTAGGTTGGCAGGCGCTGGGACCGAGCAACGGGAGCGCACCCCGCCGCGGGGATTCAAACCGCCGACCTTTCGATCGGCAGTATGCTGTATTTTCATTTTATATGGGGTTTTAATGTTTGTTTGTTTTTGCTGTAAGTCACTTTGGGACACATTTTGCACACACAAGCATGTCCCGAATTGATGGGTACCAAAAAGACAAAGAATTTGGTTAAGTTGAGAAACTTTAAAATGCTAGTAGGATTCATTCAGAAATAGAAATCTTACCCAAAGTAGTTCAAAAGGATCACTAATACCTTGTTCTAATGTAACAATTCCAACTTAATAAGCCACTATTTATTAAGCCAGGAGCAAGCCTTAAACCTACAAGCTCCCCATCGCTCCTCTTCCCCTCTTATATGCCAACTTCAGTACCTAATATGTGTTTACTTTGAGACAGAATTTTCTGATATATCTGAAGCACAAAACAGTGCTGAATTTTGGACTCGAAAAACCAATCACCTGATCATATCACATGTTATGAAACCAGAATTTAATCAAGGCATTACCGCCTGAGAATCTTAATTTTAAGCAGCTTGTTATAACAATCCACATGATTATGTTAAATGAAATGGGTATGTTACCGATAACATTTTGTACCTGAATAATTTGTTTATTTTATTTATTTATTTTGTATTAAATTTGTGTGCCAAAATCTCAGGGCAGTTCACAGCATAAAAATACAATATAGAAACATAAAATAAATAATGGAAACAAGAACAAAAATAAACCCAATAAACCCAGCCCACCCACAATGACATTTAAAAGGATTGTTGTTGTTGTTTAGTCGTTTAGTCATGTCTGACTCTTCGTGACCCCATTGACCAAAAGGATATAGGATGTTAATCAGCCAATAACCATTCACACAAATATCCCTGTTGAAGCAATAACTTTCTCCACTGCCACTGAGAAGCCCAGGCACTGAATTCCATACATTTTAAATTGAAACCCTTTGAGTGTGCCACTGATTTTAATGCAGAAGTCCTTGCTGAAAAACCATGGTGATGGCTTAAAATATCTGAGGTATGATTGAGAGCTTGTGTTGCCTTTATGTGTGCTTTTTCTGTTTTGATTTGTGTGGAGGGGTCGACAAGTTTAATTGTTTAGTAGTTGGAAAATTGGGTAAAGGGATCTGGAATGTAAGATGATTTGGTTTATTTAAAGAACCAGAAGAGGGGGTGCAGGGAAGTCTGGGGATTTGGGGGGAGGGAGGTAAAAATGTGTGTGTTTTTGGTTATTTTTTGATGTTAATGAGTAATGTGTGGGGTAATCTGGTATTGGTACAATGTGGTATATATTGGATTTTTGTAATTGAAAGCTAATAACATTTTTAATAATAATAAAAAGAAATGTTGGGTTCTGAACCACCCTCCTTGACTCAGTGTTACAGCCATACAAAATAACAAAGAGCAAGAGTCTAGGAAAATGGACTAAGAGAGGTTCCAAATCTGCTCGCCTACCCATTTTCAGGGCGATTGATGATAATGAAAAAACTAATGATGTTTCACTCAGCCATCCAGAAAAGAATGACTTGCCTGTGGGGGAACGGGTGAGAAGAATTTTTCAAGACTGGCATATAGTATGTAAGCATCTAAAATATAACCCTGAAGCAAAATAGAGGAGCAGTAAATTATATGCACAGAAGTCTCATTTCTTTAATGTTAATGCCTGGGGAAGAAGCAAAATTCACCAGCAACCCTGGGCTGACTTTGTTCTATGATACATTCGCAAGCAGATCAAAAGTTGCAGGCCATTGATATACTGGCTGATTTTTATGGGATGTTGCGCATTGTATGTCCATGTATGAATAATTAGTGCCAGTCATTTAAAAGTTGTGGTGGGTCATTCACAAGATCCTCAGCGCCGGCGAGACATCACAACCCGTTGTGCAGTTCCAGTAACACAAGCTTACTTGGGACATCAGGCAGGCACAATAATTTGAGTTGACATCCCTATTCTAAAAGCAGCCACTATGAATGCCTTATTTCAGTACAGTGGTACCTCGGGTTAAGTACTTAATTCGTTCCGGAGGTCCGTTCTTAACCTGAAACTGTTCTTAAGCTGAAGCACCACTTTAGCTAATGGGGCCTCCTGCTGCCGCCATGCCGCCAGAGCACGATCTCTGTTCTCATCCTGAAGCAAAGTTCTTAACCCGAGGTACTATTTCTGGGTTAGCGGAGTCTGTAACCTGAAGCATCTGTAACCTGAAGCATCTGTAACCCGAGGTACCGCTGTATTGCAAAGGGGTTTCCCTGGGGGGACTCCAGCTGAGTGCCTGCGGGTGCCATCAGTACCTCTTAGCGCATCCACAAAAGATCTCAGTAAATAGCCCTCAAAAATCTACAATAGACAAGAAACTGCTCTCCATGCCCATTTCCTGTTTTGCACTGTCTCTCGTATACTGAGCCCTTAAATATGCCCACATTTCGTTGGCTGCCAGGATTTGTCACCCACCTTCCCTTCTGTTCTGAACAGAGAGGAGGTACAAAGAGCTTTCCTCTTCTGAGTGAGCATGGTGAACACCCCCTTTTTTGGATGGGGTTGTCTGTCTGGGCCATTGTGTGTTCCTGTCTCTTGTGGATATGGCAGCCATTCTTTTGACTGGCACCCATAGCACGTTCTCAAAATTCCAGAAATGCCCACTGCTTAAAATGGTTGGCATCCACAGGGGCCTAGGCCAATTTGACCATTGATTGTTGCTACCCTCGTGCCATTCTGCCTGCCATGCCTCCAAAACCCTTGAAAAATCCTTACTACATACCCTATTTTGCCAGCCCGTGACCACCACTTGCCCCTTGTACAGTACTGAGACCTGATGAGGTTTTTCCTTTTTGCCAGAGCAGTAAGACCACTCTGGTGTTGAAGCTCTGGTGTAGGGTGCTAAGCTGCTTCTACCGTTGCAGCAAAATTGCCCTGTCCTGACTTAGGCCTAGTGAAAGTGTCTAGTTGTAGTGTCTAGTCCTGTGCACTGTTGCCAGCAGACCCAGAAACTGGAACAGCAAGTATTTTAAAACAGCGGCCCCCATTCCATTGCTGTATAGTGCAATCGTATGCATGTCCACGCAAAAGTCCCACTGTTTTCATGTGAGTAGGTTTAGGTTTGCAGCTTTCTCCCTCATCTACTGTGAAGTGGGACCAAAGTTCTCTTTGGTTCCAAAGGTTTACTTGTCTTAACTGGCTGGAGGCTGGTGAGGGAGAGGAGAAGACAGCAGCAATTGCAAGAAAAGGGCAAGTGGGGATTGTGCATTTTCAGGTCCAAGTGAATCGTTGTGCATCATCTCTTGCCTTTTAGCTTTAGTGTGCAAAACCATTTTCTCCCCTCAGTTGTATCCCAGAGGAATAGAGGGAGAGGGAGAGAAAGAGAGAGAGACAGAATCTACATACATGCAAGCAGTGCTCCTGCTCCTGTTGCTAAAAGCACAATAGCTCCTTTAAAAAGTTCCTTCTTAGAAAATGTTTAATTCTGCTTCCATATCCAGAAAACAAAAATGCATTCTTATCCTGTCAATTATTCTGTGTGGTTTCGTTCTGCCAAACTACATGGGAGAAACAATCTGTTCCTCCCTATGTTTGTCCCGTCCGTATGTTTCTAAGGAATATGTGTGAGCACTTCATAACTGACCCGTTATGTGTGTATTTTGTATTTGCGTATTGCAGCAAGTACAAATGTCATGTAAGAAACTCACTTACCTACATACGCACCTCAGATCCTCAGCCTTCTGCAAATGCAATGGTATTCTGTTTTAAACAAAAGGAACTCTCTTTTACTATTAACAGAAGTTTGAAAAAGAATCAGCAGGCTTCACTTTGATTTCTCCCCCCAACCTTGAACACTCCTAATAACACAATATGTTTGAAAATTTCTCCCTGCTTTTTATAGCCAGGTTCAGTGTTAAGCATAGCAACAATAATAGAGAAGTGGATGTCTGTTTTGCAAAAGTGAGTCCCTATTTCTGACTCTGGTGATCTTTCATGCATTTCTATTACTTTAGCAACTTTTACTCATTCTGACAAGATGGTCATTGGCATTCATAGGAGCTCTGCAAATTTGCAGCCTATTATCAATGGCTGGGCCAATAACCTCTTTGTAGCCATTGGCTTTGACAAATCTGGAGTAACCGCGACCCAGGGTTTGCCGCTCCTCATCCTTCACAGCTGGTGAATGAGGCACTAACCATGTCTCTCTGGGTTCCCGGCTTTATTGCTTATATGCAAAATCTACTCATACACAGAAAAATATGGCTCCTAATTGCAGCCAATTAGCCCTGCCAGCTTGCCTTGCTCAATAGTGCACCTCATTAGCCATTATAGCTTCCTGCTGAAAATCAGCTCAATGATTCCTGTTCCTCGTAGCATCTGTTCAGGGGACCCTATCCTGTGGCCATTGCTTTCTCTCTTGCGTCCATTCCTGCCTTATGGAAGAATGATTGCTTGGGTCGCAGAAAGTGACACAAACATCATTGGGTCAGAGTCCAAGAATCCCCTCTGCTTTGTGTTCTGCTTGGAGCTCTGTATTCAGTCTGACAGCCAAGCCTTTGCTTGTATCTGTCTGTTTTGGAAAGAGCATAGAGTCTAGGTATCCTCACTGCAGCAGAGCCAAGATGAACGACTAAGTTAAAAAAAGGAAAGTTGGGGAAAGGAAAAATCTGAAAAATCCTACTTCTGCCCCAGGGGAAGCCCAGGTTATTCTGTGCTCAGAATAAATGAAACCAATGGTACGTGATGTGCAGATTTTATTCCATTGGCACTCCTTGGCTTATTCCTTCTCTTCTTTTACTTGCAGAGTCTCAGGCTATGGGGCGTCTGGTGGCAAAGGGAAGAACAGTATCATGAGGTCACATGGCGTTTCTGTGGTTGGAATATTTAAACTCCAGAAGAACGATAACTTGTATATTTTGGTGGGACAACAAGGAGAAGATGCCTGCCCTAGTGTAAGTTATCATCCATCCTGATGAAGACCATCCCCCCCCACCCCCATCCATGAACACATTGAAACACTCTGTTTGGATTGAAATATCTGGGCCTTGAGAGTTAAGGCACACATTTATTAAGAGTGGATTGGGAATGGACAGATCCATCAATTTCAGTTCTCCCAGTTTCTCATTTTTCCTACCTCAAATTCAGTTTTCCACATTTCTACAGCAATTTGCAATATAGATTTATATTTTATTTTAAATGCTGATAATTCATCGGTATTTCAGTGCAAATTTCTCCTAATAAGCACATGTTTGTATGCAGTTTTGGCTAATATACACATTTTTGCAAGCAATTTTCCCTAATATATTGCATTTTTCTATGTTGTTTTCATATCTATATACATTTTTATGCAGCCTTTCCTCTAATATATACATTTTTGTAAACACCGGTTGGAAACTGCATCATACATTTCAGATAAGTGCACATTTTGAAGGACAGCTTGTTCCCGTTCTCGTATTGTTTCAGAAAACGTGAATTTCTTTGGTTTGCCTACCTTTAAATGCAAACTGAATTAAATTTCTTTTTTCCCCCCCTTTCCCTAGTGGAGAGATGTAGGCTCACATTTAGATAGACCACTAGGGGAATTTTGGAAAATTTGCTGTTTTTATGTACATGTTATAAATTAATCAGTGAGAAGCAGATGGTTAATCAACTAAAGATTCCTTAATCAATTGGAGGCTTTCAACTGAAGCAGAGGAAGCTGAAAAACAAAAGTTTTAAGCAGGGATCACTTTGAGGAGCCAATGAGAGAAGGCTGTGCATCTTAAACAAAATAAATTTAAATTCAAGATGGCCCTGGCAATGTGACTGGAATGATACATCTACATGCAGAACAGTAGTCAGGGGCAGGACCAAAATGGCATCCCTAGATGGAGTTAGGACCATGAGAAGTTGCTTAATACCAAGACTGGCCATTGGTCCATCTAGCTCAGTTTGGGACCTTTTGTATGCAAAACACATGGTCTAACACTGAGCTACAACAAAAACATTCAACCACCAGTGTGGCATCATCACTTCCTGGGTTCCCCCCTGCGTATTATTAGCTGCTACTGCCAGAGGTAGAGAAATACACAATGTGATGATGTTACATCGTGAGGTGAGTGTTCCTACATGGTACATGGGAACTTAACACAGAGGTGAAATTTTAGAAGGTGGTAGCATCTCTGTGAAGAGGAATTTAAATAATCTGGGAGCTACTTTCAGTGGTTTCTAATTCTCTGTGTCATAACACTCAGTGAACATTAATGGAATGGAAGAAAGGGATCGCAAGACCATTGAATTAAGTTCTCATGTTACTGAGTTGGGGGGGGGGGTGAATTCAGGTTGTGTGTTCCTTTTTTTCCTAATACTTTTTTTTTTTTTAGCTTAGCTTGTGTCCCTTATGTGAAAACTCCAAGACAAGTGATTCTTTTTGGAACTGCACAGTGCTGTTTCCACTGAACATTAAGTATTCAGCAGGGGTCTTTGCTTGAGTATATTTCAGATGACTAGGGTCTGGACACCAGATTCTTATGCTGTTATTACAGGATGAAGAAAGAAAGTGGGGGACTCCATTACAAAGGTCTGAGCGATACCAGAAAAAAATCCTTAGGCGGGGACAGTGCATCCCCTTTCACATCCACGCTCACCATGCACATAAATGCAAGAGGTTAATATTTTTTGGATTGTGGTCTATCTAGATTCAGTCTCCTATTTTGTATCCATAATCTGAGCATTGCAGCACACGATAATATACGAAGTCATTAAATTACAGGGCACTGTAATCTTAGCAAAGATTTATTGAGTGCTAATGTAATTCTTTCATCGAGGCAAAGAGATTGCATTGACTTGTGGAAGTGGCTTTAACTTGATTGGATTGTAATCAGTTATGTCTTTGCCATGAAGTCGTCTTTCTTTTTTTTAAAAAAAAAAAATCCAATTGTGATCTATTGGTTTCTCTGGGTCATTGCACTAAGTCATTTGATTAACCATCCCTTCTCCAACTGTGAATTAGAGTTAGCAGGTGTTGGGATTTTTATAGCACCTACAGCCTTCTGTGGACCAGCTCTGAGAGCCTGCTATTGATCAACAAGCTTAACTTTAGAGGCATAAATTTAAGATTAAGTTGCTGTAGATCAGCTTCTGTTTCCCTCACAAAGTATTTCCGTATGAAGGTAAAGCACCTCAAAGCAGGGCTGTATTTGGTTAATCATCAGCATGTGCAATTTTGTAAAGATAGTTTCTTTCTAGGCCTATGTTGTTTTTCATGTTCCTTGGCTGAGCTTTGGGCTATAAATCATGAGAGGGACCAAGGCCACCTTCCCTCCTATTTCAATATTGTAGGTCAAATTGATCTGAACAACATGGGGAGGAGGGCCAAGCCTTGGCCTGCATGCATATCGCTTGGAAATTACAGCATCAGTGGGGTGTCTAAATGGGCCAAAACAGATACAAAGCCATAGCAAAAAATTCAACATCTTTCCACATTTCAAATAAAATGGTTTTCAGTAGAGTTGGCTTGCACACTCAGTTGCCAGCCATCAAGTGTAGGATACCGCAGGCGACTGCTGAGAAATCATAAGATAGCCATGTGTACAGCAGACCTTGATGAATGTCTGAAGTGGCCTATTGAAAAACATTGCATTTGAGCTAATATTAAACTAAAAGTTCCATCTCTGATGGGTGGCCACTATTTAGCACCAGGCTGAAGGACTGCATTGACCTTTGGTCTAATCCATTATAGCACAGTGACTAAAGTATTGAACCATCAGTGGGGGAGACCTGGTTCAACTTCCCATTCAATTCACTGGGTGGCCTTGGGCTGCTGTTTCTCAAGCTAACCTACTTCACAGGCATGGTGCAAGGATAAAATAGAAAGGGAGTCAACCATGTAAACCCACCAGACTCCTTAGAGACATTGTGGGATATAAATGCAATAAATAAGTAAGTAATACAGCAATGCAACTCTTGTCTTCTGAAGCAGCCTCATTTTATGCCAGCATCTGAGTAGTCTCTAGAGCGAGTGGAGTCAACACCTTCTGCAATGTATCTCAGAGCCTTTTTCCTCCCTTTGCATCTTTTCTGGCAGTCTACAGGACCTAGTGCAGCTTAATTCAGCTTTAGCATTTATGTGCATTTATCCACTTCTCATAATGAATACATTGTTCTGTACTCAGTATAGGGGAGCAGATGCTTCTGCTGTTGCAACCAAGCACACAGGGCAGTGCAATTTCTGTTGCACCTAGTTGATGGGGGAGGAATGTACAGAAGTCGAATTCCAAAGCAGACTTACCTGATTCAATCTCAGTAGATCATGACCTAGATCAGATCATGAATCCACATCAGGTCCTGGCACTCCCTTTGATCTTCTCTATTCAAAGCCTCTCACACACTAGCCTTTCCAGGCTGTGGACACCTAGATAACTGAGCTTCTTTGAAGGAAGAAAAAAAATGTTACCAACTTGCCAAATTAAGGCAGCCCTTACGTGCATCTTAAGCACTTTTATTTTATTCTAATGTTGGTTGGTTTTTTGCTTTTGTGTTTTTGTTCAGATTTTAAACAAAATGAGGGGGGCTTAGTTCCATCCCTGTGCAGAACTGGGATGGACAACACTTTAGTGGGTCTGTCCATCCCGTTACATATTTCTGAAGCTGAGCTGAAACACACTGTAGGAAGATCTTCTAGGTGGGCTGGGAGCAGACTCTGTATTCTTCATTCTACCGCTGACCTTTTCTCCAAATTGAGTGCCTTTGTTTCTTCCTGCTTGTCAGGTGGTTCCAATCATTAATCTTCATTGAAGAATCCCTTGAAATATACATGAAGGCCAAATGTCCTAATTATTGGCAGGAAGAAAGGGTTCTTTTCCGATAATCTCTTTGCAGATAAAAAAAATGCTATCACTTTATGGGGCTGCCTAACACTTTTTTATGATTGCATTAAGCAGCAAATTAAGATAGGCAAGAGAATAGGTTCTTCTTCACAGAATCTTTAGCCTCATTATCAGTTCCTTGCCAATTGACCAGGGCATGATCTACACATGGAGCAGAATGAAGTGACAGAGTCCCAATGAGCTAGAGTGGACTGTTCCACTTCAAACTGCAAGTGGAGTTGTCACTTTTCACTGCTGTCTCAGGTAACCAACATCTTACAAGTAAAACAGCAGCATTATCTAGCACATCAGTGAGAAAGGTTCTCTTCCCATCCCATTCTCTGTGTGTTTTCTGTGTAGGAGAGCATTCAGTAATGGGATCCTCCCCAAGTACAGTCTGGAATGATACAGCCCACTTTACCACCACAGGGCTCTTCCTCTGCATTACCACCTCATTCTGCTGCATGCGTAGGCTAACCCTTATATTGACATGGCCACACTTACATCTGCTCTGATGCCCATTGCTTTGTGAATATTAAATAAGGGTAAGAGTCAGTAGAGGCATAATCAGAGGTGCTTTTGATAGGTGAAGTCTTATGTCAGGTCCACGGGAAGAGTATAATTCTGGACATTTTTATTTACAGACTCTGACCAACCAAGTTATACAGAAGGTCTGCATTGGAGAGAATAATGTCGTTGAAGATGAAATTAGAGTAAATAAGAGTGTCTATGAATGGGCTGGAGGTGGTGGTGGAGGTGGAGGAGCAACTTATATATTTAAGGTACGGAAATATCCACCATCCATACAAATATTAAACTTTGTCCTTTCAGCTTGAGGCACTTGGTTTACTTATGCTTCCTTCCTTTTGGTCCTTCAGCCTGAACTAGGGGAAGTATGGTCTCTCCTGCCCTCAAATGAGCCTGGTAATTGCAACACATGCACTTATATAGGTTGCTGTTTAATTATCTCATATCTGTTTGATGACATCACACCAACTCACTTTTTCTTATGTGACAGTCAGACCACAGAAACATCGAAAATACCAATGGTCTGTCTAGCTCATTGTTTCACTATCCTGACTGGTGGGGGCTCCCCGGGGTCCCAAGCAGAGACTTTTTCTAGTCCTACCTGCAGAGTGTGTTCTCTGCCACTATTACAACCTTTTCCTAAGCTTCAGGAATTCACAGTTGGGTAAAGGAGCTGGCTAGTGTGGAAATAACACATATGGTTACGTTTGTGGGCCAGATTAAATATTGTGCTAAACCAGTGACCTTTGAGTTCATGTATCATCTCCTTCTCCCCTTGCCTTCCAATGTGGCTGCAATAAGATTGGAAGCTTTCATTTTCATTCTCTATTAACCCCCGTTTAGTGTGACTTCCAAAATACAAACTTTAGTTAATCCTAGCTGTGATTGGTTGAAAAAGCCCAGAGTTTTCATAAACCAGTATTTGAAGTTGCCCTGTTTCAAACAAACCACAGCTAAGATTATATAAAGTTTCTCAAGTTCAGCTGAAACGACACTTGATAGATGTCTAGGGACTTTTATTGGAATTAAAAAGAGATATATTATTTTTTAAACTCCATGCTGTACATGCCAGAACACACAGTTTAGCAAACGATAGCAGCGTGTTGTGACAGAACCCTTCAGAGAAGGTCCACTATGTTCTACTACACAAAATGTGGTATATTCCTGGTGCTGTTGGCATCCCTGTGTGCACGCCATTGCCAAATACTGTTACTGCTGCTCTTTACTCCTACAGTACATGAGAAACCTAATGGTCACAATTAATCTTTGGGATGCAGGCAGATAAATAATGCAGCAGTAATCTGGGCTACTCCACAAGCCTGGGGGTTGCTGGCTTAGTGCAACGAACTTGTTATTTACATGTCTGACACATCTAAAATCCAGCTTTGTTTCTCGATTCCACCTGTCAAGATGGAAAATGGAAAGCCAGTCCCCTTGATTGTTGCAGCAGGAGGTGGTGGCAAGGCCTACAGGGACAAGGCATATACATTTCACCAAGAAAAACTGGAGAATGACACATCTGTTCCAGGGCTCAGTGGGAAACCAGGAGCCGCAGGTAAGGAACGTCCACTAACTCACTCCCAGCGCCTTGCCAGGCATAACAAGATGGTTGGCAAAAGCCATTTGGTTCTGAGCCAAAGCAGCAGCACCCAATGGGCTAGAGCATTGTTTGACGCATTTGCCGCATCAGCATCTCCCGCCAGAGAAACAAGCAGTTGTTATAGTTTAAAAAGCAGCAGCTTGTCTCTTCAGCCTGGGAACTGCTGCAGTGACAATTTATCACACAAAGCTCCGGCTGCCCATATGGTTCTCCCCTGTACATTCATATAACTTCTTTGGATCACAGCCATTATCATTAGCAAAGAAGAATAGCTCAGGAGTTATGGGTGTTAGCTTAGAGCCCACAGCTGTCACTTTATTTCCCTGCTGAACCAAAGGGCCTGTATTACCTTGACCAGATCACAAATGTTCATGACATTTATTAAAAGTGAGCTATTTACCCCTTAAAACATTTATGTTGAAATGGTGGTTAAGAAGTAGAAAAGGTACAACTGTTTGACCAGTTCACCCATCATCTATTCTCCCCACCCCCCGCACCAAATAATTATTTTTTAACGAGTGGACTGGGAATTCTGCTGCATAATCTTCTACTTCTCAGAACTCTTGAATATAAATTAATCTCAAACAAGACATAAAGTTGAGATCACTTAACCCAGATTAGCGACCTCTTATATAACATATAACCATCTTTTGTACTTGCAATTAGTAGTTTGGGGAAATTATTTTAATGCCATATTTTCTATGAAACCAGAAAATGGTAGCTATTGCAGACTGATGCCAATCCAAAATAAAATAAAATGGTTTTTTATTTGCCCCTGGAGATTTCATACAGAATATTTCTGTAAACATTCATTACATACGTTGGGAAATCTATCCCTTTTATTATTTTAACAAGTGTTGTTATAAATTACAAAGGTTAGTTATAACACGTTGCTGGTGCGTTTATCTGTGTGGTTTTAAGATCCATTATTATGCTGTCCGGTACTGATTGTGAGAGTAGAACCAAGATGCAGTATTTGTTCTACATCATTCTAGACTGAAGGAGAATGGATTTATGAACACTTCCAGATGTTCATCCAATTTTTATGTGGTTTATTTTGAGTAGAGCTGAAGAGAATACATTTTTCTGAGGAAAACATCGGATATTTTTATTTCTCAGCCTGCTAGAAAAAGAAGGCCGCTTTATTTTCCCATAATATTCTCTAGTATTTATTCATTCATTGCAGCAGCCACCATTTATTCCTACCAAAGACCCAGTACATGACAAAGTCTGGCTGTTGTGGACAATGCAAACATCCCCCTCACCCCAAGAAAGAGAGAGAGGGGGAGGGAGAGAGAGAAATTTGGTTGCTGCCATTTGCTAATGGTGAGCACAGCCTCCCCACTCCAGAAACTGTCAGATAATTCATGGAAGTAGTATCTCTGATTTCTCTACCTGAAAATATGATGGAGAGTTTTGAGATGCCATTTATGCATAGTTCAATTTTCTAGTATCTGCTGCTTTTTATTAACACAGGGTATACCCAATGCTTGCCCTATTCTGGCCAGTGTTCCCTCTTTCTCAGTCTCTCTTAATTGCTAAAAGTACTACCTCAAAAAGTAGACGCCCACTTTACTTAGTACAATACCCGTTAGCACCGGCAGGGCTCCTTTGAAAAAAAAAACATTTTATGGATGCTTCCCATTCTGGCCATTGCTGAGGCACTTTTTCTTCCTCCACACAGATCATTAACTTTTTCTGCAGTCTTATTTTGCATATATCCATATGCACCGATATTTACCACAGAGGCCTCTTTTCAGTTCTGTTTCCTTTTTTAAAAAATTCTGGTGTTTTTATCCTTCTATATCCTTTTCAGACACAGTTCTCCCAGCTTAATAAACCATAGTTTGTTTATTTGTTTGTTTGTTTGATTGATTCATTTATGAATTGCTTCCCATAAAACGTCCCGAGGCTACTTAACAATAAAAACATCAACAATAAGAACCTATTTAAAAGCCATTTAGCTCCAATAGAGATACAGACTGGGATAAAAATCTCCACCTAAAATGTTAGTTGGAAAAAAAGAAGGTCTTCAATAAGCATCAAAAAGATAGTGGTTCTGAAGAGTAGATACCACCACACTAGGACATGTCATTTTAGGGCAGGGCATTTAATTTTTAAACATTTATTCAGTGAGGGGTCTTAAAAATATGTTTTTCAGTGTGATGAATTCAAATCTGCTATTATTATTTGTGACTCGACAACATTTGGCTTGGTAAATCTATGTTTGATTAAAAAGCACATACGCTGCTCTAGGAAAAACCACAGAATTTTAATTTTACCTTCTGAAAAGGTCAGGTAATGCCTATTAATAATTTAGTTTCCCTGCATAAAACATGTCCTACTAAGCATACAACATTACCTTGTAATCATAAAACAACATTAGAAAGTAATGACATCAGTTAATAAGAAATTTAAACAAGAAGTTTCATTAAGTCTTGCTCTGAATGGCTCGTGGACATCAGCTGCCAATTTGTTCCTTGGCCACTGATGCAGCCCTCACATCTCTCATGTGTCTACATTCATATGCGACATAGCCTGTTTGCTGTTGTTAACCACCTTGAAAGGCTCACTGGGCCAGATTGGTGGGAAGTTTACCTGACCTTATGGCGTGTGTGATCTGATACCTGTACACTTGATCAGTAGATGTATCCTTTATGACATTGTCACTCCATGAAGTAAGAGGCTCCTCAATGGAGAGTTTGGTGAATGAAAGATCAGCTTCGAGTTCTATCACAGTGTCTAGCATCTTGCCAGTGTTACCTGTCCACTTGCTGTCAGACAAGGTCTTCACATCAAGTGCTGTGATCAAGTGTTGCAGGGTAACTCATTGGTGTGGAGGGCACAAACCAACCAGATCAGCTTACAACCAAGCTTGACCTCTACCCAATGCATGTCACCACCCTCCCAGCCAGTGTTAACTTTTGTAGAATCACCTCCAATGGCCTGCAGGCTCTTATCTATGCACTTCTTCGTGAAATCTACAAGATTATTAGCAGTAGCTTCTGCTGGTTTTTCTCTCTTTGAGTGAAGCAGTAGAGATCTTTCATCCGGTTCACTGCACACAGAATAATGCTGTTCTGTGGTGTTGATGGGGAACTGTTGATCTGAAATGTATGCTTTCAACCTTTAGTTGTCTCTTTACAGCCGTCCAAGAAGATGCAGTCAATTTCACCCTTCGGACAAAGATAATCAAATTCCTGATACAGGGTTATCATAACTTTTTCTTTGGCCCTTCTTGACTTTATTGTGATCAACTACACCATACATAAAGGAAGCAATGGGGATTGCAACTGTGGCACACAGGCCAACATTATATCTGATGCTCTCCATAGCAACATTATGTACTTCTAATCTGTCTTTTTATTAGAAGTGGAAGGCCTGCTTGGTTTTCCTAATTCCTAACTTCCATCATTTCCATCTTGGGCATCAGCTATTTGTTCTTCATTTTCATCAGCAGAGAAAATAATTTCATTTGATGGTATTGAAGCATTCTGCTTTCTTCTTTGCTTATATTCAGCAAGCCTCCTTCTTTCATCTTGCTGCTTCCGCTATTTAACTTGTCTGTTATGCTGAGGCAGATCTGGCAAGCCAGTCTGATGTAGTCCAATAGATGTGGTCCAGTCTTCTCTCTCTGACCTTTGAAAGCAAGTTCCTTCACAGGGATCTTCATCTCCTTAGGGCATGTACAGTTAATGTGAGCTTCCTCTTTGCAATTAGCATCTGCAGGGCAGCCAAATTCAGGGCGGCAGCAGCGGGGATACACTTGCATTTGAGGATGTCACGAAGCTTGTCAAGTTTTAAAGTGGAAACCTCTTCAATATCTAGCTTTCCTCTATCAAGACATATGTTTTTGGCCTTCTCCTGGTTCTCTTTGATTTTCTGTAAGATTGTGGCTTGTGAATTTACAAGGGGGGCAACAAAAGAACTGTTTGCTCGTTCCCACTTTTCAAGCACTTTAGAGTAAATGTCTTTTGCAAGACTGTCTGCTAGGTAGTTTCTGACATCCTCATCACTTTGTTCTCTTAGCAGCAGCCCATACCCAAGAATGTCTCACAGAGTTGGGAGTTCAAAGGACAGCAACTCTCTGCCAGTTCCAATTAGTTTGCTAATGTGCATGAATGTCTCCAGCTCTTGTTCTCTTTTTAGAAGCCATTGTAGGTCAATTCCCACTGCTTACAGTAATTATATTATATTATATTATATTATATTATTATATTATATTATATTATATTATTGCAAGTACTTGGCAATCATTTTTAATTATTATAATACAACTTTTCTCTTTCTTTTAATAAGTTTATTGGAAATTTCCCCAAAATGTTAAAAAGTCAATATATTTATGTAGTTATTTACCAACCCAAACTAAATTATATTAATCCAGCCAAAATAGCTTTTGAATTCCCAAAGGCTTGATTCATCCATCACATGGAACAGACCTCTTGATGAGGTGGAATCAAAAACGGAAGATCTCTCATTTTTGTAGAACAAGCAGCCTTTCACAATGATAGACTGCTTCCTGCACTCTCTTTAGCCTAGCCATTGGAAATTTTAAAAAACTGGTGGAGGAGAATGACTGTTGGCCCAGTTCAAACACTGAGCCAATCAGTGTCTCCAAATGGATCAGAAGCAGAAGTAGACTCCTCCTCCACACATCACAGGTAATGTCACCTGTGATGTGGATGCCCCACCTGATTTATGTGATTCTCCATCCTTAAAAGGGAGAGAGATTGCTCAGATAGAGCGTCAATTATGCAGTAGCACAGGGTGTCTGCATCCATGACCTATGTGGTCCAAAACAGAGGGTGCCACACACTCTTCCAACCACACAAAGGCTCTCTGTAGCGTGAACTGGACCTATTGCCTCTCAACTGTATAGTGCATTCCAGCTGGGGGTTGCTGAGATAGGGAAAAGAGAATATTTAGTATCAGAATCGCTGCCTTAATATATATGAGGCTTCAGGGAATCCGATCCCTCCCACGGTGGCAGCCAAGAAGCAGATGAACAAGAAGAGTTCTTACCAAGTACTTTATTCAATATTCACAGAGAGCGAGACATGAAGGAATGCAGTCTCTCTTAGATAATGGCGTTGCTCCGAGTAAAGTCCCACCCCCTCCGTCTCTCCTATTCTATGTCATCCCTGCATCAGCTGATCTGAGTTTTCTGCCTCTGAGCTTTCTATTCTACTACTCTCAATGCCTGCCTGGTCCGGGGGGGGGATCAGGAATGCTTTCTAAAGACACTGAGTCTGTCAACTGTCTCTCCCCTGATGTTTCTTCTTCCTGCTGCTCTTCTCCCAATATTTCCCAGCTTCTTCTCTCTACAGTCTCTGAACTATGACCTTCTGCAAACCACTGTTCTAAATCTATACTGTCCTCCTGTTCTCGGGAAGGTTCGGGGGGGGGGTCCTCACCATTCCTCCTCAGTCCAGCTCCTGACAATATGCCTCAAAGTGTTCAGGCAGGAAATGGAGTGTGACACAGAAACCAAAGGAATGTCAAACTCCAACATAGGGTTCATTGTAACAGCCCCTGTCCTTTCATTGCTGACCTAGGGTCTGAAACTTTCAAGTAAATGCCTTCTTTGAGATCCTGTTTTCTAGGTGAATTTTGTGTTTCATAGATCCATTTCCGTGCTGCTTTTCCAAATGACCCAGTGCAAAAACAATAATCAGGAATATAGAAAGCTGCCCTATAGAAGGTCAGGTTATTATACTATCTAGCCTAGTATTGTCTACTCTGACTGGTAGCAGCTCACCAGTCTCAGAGGGATGTATCCCAGTCCTTTTCATTGTAGGTAGCAGGGCTCAAACCTGGCACTTTCTAAACACAAAAGCATGTGCTTTGCAAGTAAGCTTTGGTTTCTCCCCTTGTTAGCCCAAGTCCTGGATTAACCTGTCATTTGCGGAGAGAATACTATATGTGTTCCCATATTACTGTTATGATATAAAGAAAGCCTTTGTTCGCCAGTGTTGGACCAAGACATTTTGCTCCATAAAGCAAAAGATACACTAGATTTGACACTTTAAAAGTCTTGGTGCAGCATTCAGGCACAATTTCTGCTTTCATCTGTTTCCTCATCATCCTGGTACATGGCAGGTCCAGCCCTATTGGCACCATAATGTCATGTTGACCTTCCACAATCCAGCATCAAAGGCATGTGTACACTTTGACTGATACTGCACAAAAACAGGTTTAAGTGTGTCAAGTTTCCATTGAGCCTCCATTGAAAGAGAGGCAATGAATTTCTAGCAACCAACTCCCCCGCTCATTCGCTCTGATACATACTACTTCAGAGGAAGCTGTAGCTTCAGCCCTGTGTACCTGAAAAAGCATCTCCACCTCCATCGTTCAGCTCAGACACTGAGGTCCAGCTCTGAGGGTCTTCTGGTGGTTCCCTTACTGTAAGAAGTGAAATTACAGGGAACCAGGCAGAAGGTCTTTTTGGTAGTCACACCCACCCTGTGGCAAAGAGTTAAACAACTATTATAAAAATTTGTAGTCATCTGAAGCAGCCCTGTTCTGAGAAGCTTTTAATGTTTGATGTGGTTCTTCCCTCCCTGCCGTGCACCTTTCCCTCTGTATTTTTGTGGAAGCCACCCAGAGTGGCTGGGGCAACACAGTCAGATGGGGGAGAGGAGTAAAAGAAATAAATTATTGTTATAGCACTTAAACCCTTTTAAAAAAAAAGTATATACATAGTATAGATGAGACTTGTTCTCCACAAATTCTGTACTTTCCAGTAAGGAACCTATAACCTAGCTGAGTTTCTCCTTCATTTTATGGATGCAACGGGAACTTACTGCAACTATTTTCCCTTTTGGAAAGCCAGCATGGTGTAGTGGTTAAGAGCGGTGGACTCGTAATCTGGTGAACCGGGTTTGCGTCTCCACTCCTCCACATGTAGCTGCTGGGTGACCTTGGGCTAGTCACACTTCTTTGAAGTCTCTCAGCCCCACTCACCTCACAGAGTGTTTGTTGTGGGGGAGGAAGGGAAAGGAGATTGTTAGCCGCTTTGAGACTCCTTCAGATAGTGATAAATATCAAATCCAAACTCTTCTTCTTCTTCTTTTTTAAACTGCAGGTGGTGGAGGTGGCTGGAATGATAACACTTCCTTCCTCTGGTCGGGAAAATCCTTGCTGGAAGGCGCTACCGGAGGAAAATCCTGCCCCCAGGCCATGAAGAAGTGGGGGTGGGAGACAAGAGGGGGTTTCGGAGGGGGTGGAGGGGGGTGCTCCTCAGGTGGAGGAGGCGGAGGATATATAGGTAAAGTGGCTTCGTGTTCAAGGTGTCCCTTCCCCTCCCTTAGTGCTAATGCTCAGCAAAATTTTGCTGAAACAAAATTTCCCTATACCTGGCATATCTCTATTTGCATCGATAGCTATCTGTATATTTGAATGTCATGTAGTGCTAAGTGTTGACACACAGGGGGTCTAAGAATCTGCATGGCCAAGGTTGTACCAATCTATTCATTGCTATAATGGGGTCCCTTTTTGGAATTCTGGGCATCCCGATTCATATGTGCCCTCTTCCCCAAAGTTTCTAGCCCTCATACCCATAGAAAAAGAGTTTAAAGGTGTGCTAAAGGATCAGATGGCAGAGAGGAGGTAGTCTGAAGGGCTTCAGCTGGTTACCTCTGCTGGTGCCTCTGCAGCTTTCAGACCTCATTATGAGCACACTTAATTTCCCTGCACAATGCCCCTGGTCTTCTTTTCACTCCTTGTTGTTTGGTCTGGGTGTTGTTTTTTTACTTTTTTTGAAAAAGCAAATTATTCCATGGAATCGAGTTGTGCAGCATTGAACTGCACAACTTATGCATTTTGGTCTCGTTTATTTAGAATATGAAGTTTAGTATTTCCAGCTATAGATGCTGATGAGGCGGGAGGCTTGTGTAGCATTCTTGACCCCCTGTGTATATGTTGCCTTTTAATGCTAGATGAACATTAACATGATGCAAGCTCTATTCAGGTGTTACTTGCCTAGACGGTCAACACGAGGACAAAGGGGCTGTAGGACCATGCTTTTGGCTCCACCCTGCTATTGCACAAATCCTTCTGGCTTCCTACCTATTCAGGGCAAGTGGGCTTCCTGCTGCACTAGCGCAGGCTCCCAACACGATTTAGAACCCTGATCATACAGGGTTCTAGATCACAGAGAACTTGCATGAGTACAGCACACTTCCAGCTGCATACGTTTGCCCTGGACACATGCAGAGCCAGAGGGAGTTGCACAATGACAGGGGCGCCCCTATCCATTTTGGGGGGGGGTATGGTGTTTGGCTTGGCATTGATTGACTTGGCATCAAGTCTCTGCAATTTACACTGCAGCTGTGCCAAACTGCTCTGGTACTTATTAGCCTCTGCACCAGTTAATGCTGGTGGGATAGTGCATGTTGAATAACTCTTGGCACAAGCAACCAAAAGCACCAGTCCTGAATGGTGGGAAGTTCTTTCAAAAGGACATGCCATCAACCTTCAAGATCTTGCTGTGAATTTTGAATAATGATGGTGTCCTCTTGATGTTTTGTGTTTATGAATGATGAAATAGTAACAGGAGGCATTTGCTGTGCTTTATGGCATCAAGGTACTTTTGCCTGAAGACTGTTGTGCCACAAATATGCATTGGCTTTGATCTCTAGAGGCACTGACCTCTCAAGACAAGGCAAGTAATTCAGTCTTCACAATCAGTCCTTGACTCCATTGCAGATGGTTGCCAGTTGCCAGAGAAGTCAATTGCAACAGCAGTATTGAAGGCCTATTATGACAGCTGTCAGAGCCTAAAATTCAAATCACCAGGTGGACAATAATTTTCACTACCTGTCTTTCAATCTTTTGGGCCATCCTGAATCTTCTCATCTGTGGTGGTCTCTTGCACCTTATGCTACTAGTTTCCTATTTGGGTACAACATGTGATGGATGTGGTGTCAGCTGTGGAGAGATCACCATGAGGTAATTTTGTTTTATGCATGCTGGTTGGTTATTTGAATGCTGGCACATCTCAGATACATGTTGGATGTGCTAAATCCTGGGAAACGCGAAATGTTGTTTAGACCAGAATGTGGCATGTCTTGCTCTCGAAACATGGCTGAGAGGTACTGAAGCATTCAGATCATCCCTCATGCAAGAACAAAAATCATCTTGTGGTGACTCGATCCTATTGTTTGCCACTTCAAAATGGTTGGGGGGAACCCACCTATATGTGTGAGAACTCTGAAGGAAGCAAATGATAGTTGATTTCAAAATCTTACTGAACTGCATGTGTATTATATATGCTGCTTCTGAAAAATAGAATTGAAAATAACCTTGTACGATTATTTAAATTTCCAAATGTGTCTTCAGAGGAGATTCAAATTAAATAGCACTCTTGGTACTGGTAGATTGATTGGTTACTTGGTTTAGGCAGGCTTAAGAATGGGTAACAAGAAAGGAATCAGTACTATACATGCTAATAACCCAGGATCTGCATGACAGGAATAGCAAATGTGGTGCATTCCAAATGTTGTACTTCAGCTCCAATCATCCCTGATCACTGGTCATTCTTGCTGGGGCTGATGGGAGTTGGAGCCCAACCATCTCTGGAGAGCATCACCTTGGCTATACCTGGTGCAGATGCCAAGATGAGTTACCATAGATTCAACATGATAAAAGAGAAAACGTGTCAGCAGTTTGACTTTTGCACACGCCAGCATTTTCAATCTGTCACTCAAACAACACTGTGAAGATTTTTATTTATTTCATTAAAATTATACACCGCTTGATTGTCACAAAGCAACAAACTGAAAGCAGTTTACCATCCCCCACAATTGTAATCTTTTTGCTCAATGGATCTCCCCAGGATTGTGCTGAAATACTCATTTGCATCATTCAAACCGCTTATTAAACTGAAATTCTTGAAATGACCCAGTAGTCACTTAATATTTTGCCAGATGACTGTCCTTTTTTCTGCCAGATGTTCTTTATTTTGTAGAGTTGGTAATTAGTATTTTTCCTTTACCTGCTGTAGTGATACATACCAGAAGGGTAGCCGTGCTAGTCTGCTGCAGAAAACAACAACCATGTCTTATATCCTGACTAAGTTAGTTGAACTTCATTCCCATTGAAATCAACAGAGGCTTTAGACATGATCAATTTGCCCAGTGATTTCAGTGGAACCAAAGTTCAACTAACTTAATCTGTCTCTGTCCCAAAGGGTTTTGTAGCACCTTAAAGGAACACAAATATTGTGGCACAAACTTTTGGGGGTTAGAGCCCACTTCATGAGGTGCACTCCCACTGGTAAGCAATTGGCATAGCACAATCAATTGGGTAAAAAAAAAAAGCCTAAAAATGGCAGTGACTTTCCATTCTGTACAGCTGAAATTCTTCAGAGTCAGATTTACTAATGAATTCCAGCTCAGCATATTATTGCTGGAATCCATCTTGAAAAGTATTTGGGAAAAAGCTCTGACGTTTTACTATTGAATGTCCTGAGAGATAAAAATGGGCCCCTACTCTTTTCTGAGTGTTCCCATTTTTTAAATTTTCAGAGGCTTAGCTGTGTTAATCTGTTGCCGCAAAAACAAAGAGCCTTGTGCTACTTTAAAGTCTAACACATTTTCTTACGACGTGTGCTTTTGTGGACTAGAGCCCAGTTCGTCAGATGCATGGGGTAGGATCCTAAATATATGGAGAGATTTCCCACAGGGTCTCTTCCAACTCTACAATTCTGTGATTTGACAATTCTATTATTTCCTTTCCATGTGACTAAATATGGTGCCTTCCAAAAGAAAAAAATCACACTGATCTGATGGTGTGGGCTATAGCCCACAAAAGCTTATGCCATACCATAACAAAATATGTAAACCTTGTCAAGTGCAACAAGACTCTCTGTCATTTTAGAAATGTTGTTTGTGCCCATTCTCTTGCATAGAAAAGAGATTAAATGAGAGTGGGACAGTCAGGAATGGATCACAGCCATGTATTTGATTCTGTATTCATTTGTCCTCTGTGTGGAACTGTGATAGATCTGCAACAGTCTCTCGTATTGCTTGGCTTTGGGGGCTACAGTTTACTAAAATGTGGTGTGTGTATTTTTCTTCTCTCTGTACTCAGGGTATATATATCTACTTAACCCACATCTGATGAAGTGGAATCTGGGGCCCACAAAAGCTTATGCTGCTATATATTAGTTAGTCTTTAAGGTGCCACAAGACTCTTTGTTGTTCTTTTATATGTGTTGTGTTATTTTTTTTCTTCTAAAACCTTGGCATCACAATGATATTTTAAGGTGTTTTCATGTTTTCTGTAGGTGGCAATGCAGCAGAAAACAATGACCCTGAGATGGATGGAGAAGATGGTGTATCTTTTATTAATAATTATTATGGTTCATTGTACACCCCTGCATTAAAAGGTATTTTAATCAACCAGCGAGAGTGATTGTTATGATGTGTTTGTAAAATATCTGAATACTTTTGAAGGGCTATATTAGATTGAATATGGGCAACATGTCTGGAATAGTCTGAAAGTTCTTAAGGTGCTAAATTGGGCGTGGCGAAAGCCTTTAAAGAAGACAATAACTTATACATACCTCAGGCCAAACAACAGCAGATCTTGCTCTTGACATGACATAGCGTTTCTTTTCTTGAATCAGTGAGTCCAGAGGTTTGTATGTGAAACTGTCTTCCCTTTACAGACACCCCCATCTTACTCTGCAGTGATGATGAGGGAAGAGATTCAGAGTGAGGAGGCTGCTGTAATAGAGATCATATTGGGGTAGTCACTTGCTTTCAGCCCCCCCCCCAAATTACCTCAGGGGAACTCGTCCAGAAGGCAGCCAGGACAGAGAATTGTTTTTTAACTGAAAAGTAATTTAAAGGAAAGATGAAAAGGCTATATAGATCCAATGGGTAAACACGACTGGTGTATTTTGAAGACTGTCATGCAAAATTTTGCGACTATTGCTATAATCTCTAGTTTTCCGCCTTCTAGTAAACTGGACGATTCCAAACTAGAAGTACTGGGCATTCTTCTAAGCAACGGGGTAATAATATTTGTACGAACATCTTGATAATAGGCTGCCTAATATACAATAGCAAAGGCCCCTCAGCTCATTCCATCTCAGGTCAGCTGGTAGTCTACCATTGTCTTGCTTACAAATCTTTTATGGGTGTGCCTGTGCCCTGTTTTGGGTGAGTGTTTGACTTAGATCACAAATTAGTAATATTTATTTCATCCATTCCCTAGTGACAGATGGGCACGGCGAAGTCGAAATCAAAGTGCATGTGAACTGTAGCCACTGTGATCACGATATGTGCCACATTGATATGAAGACACAGGAGGTTATTTGCATATGTGTTTTCGGGTATGTGTTGGCTGATGATGGTGTCTCTTGCATAGGTAAGAAGCCGGACAGGAAAGGCCTTCTTTAGCTCAGATGGGAAGCAGGGTTGTGCTACTGGCCGCCGCACTGATTTCGCACCATCTTCTGGGCTCCCTCACCATTCCTTCTCTTGTGTGTTGAGCAGAAGTTTGAAGAGGGAGGCAGCTGTGCCTGTGAAGGTTCCTCCATGTGACTGGGAGCTCTGCACCCATTGGCGATTCCGTGGAGGAGCCTCCATGAGACGTTTCCCCCTTCAGACCTATTCTCATTGCATAGGAGTGGAGCTGAGAGGGGAGTGGGTGGGCATGTCGTTGAAGGCAGGGCCAGCAGCACAGCCCCATATCCCTTTTGTAATATGAACCTTGTTGCATGTGGTCAATGTGGGGGCGGGGGTTACGTTTTCAAATGTATACTTGTTCTATAAGACTCTTCAATCTGCAGCTGGGCTGCAAATCATCAAAAAATCCTCAAGAAGGTTAGATTAACCATTGTACTAAGTACGCTACCTCTACTGTGGTGCAATTATTTGACGTTATTTGAAAATATCTCAATATGAGAGTGTACCTATTCTGCTTCCTGCAGTGGGTTCCTTTAAAATTCTCTACCTGTCAGAATATTATATCCCCTCACAGCCTATATGCCACTTGCTAAAATTTCACTTCATTTCATCAGTGCTGTCCAGTGAAATCAGCCTCTGCTTCTGAACTCTTGTGCTCAGGGCTAGTTTTCTAGAAAATGAAGTGCCGGAACTCACCATGAATGCCTCCCTTGTTCTCTTGTAATGGCCATGGTGCCCACCTGAGAGGTGAAGGAACTGAGTTCCAGTGAGTTCTGGATGAAAAATAACCCTGCTTGTGTTCCCAACATTGCATAATAAGCCAATAAGCTCCTAAGATACCACAGCGAACTTTGCCTTCCCGCCACATGGCTCTGTATTTTGTCTCCGCCCCTCCCATTCATTCCATCTGCTATCTTTACATTGTGCAGAAAGCAGGGTGAACCTCTGCTGCAATCAGCTCTCCTGGATCTGTGACCCTCCAATGGCCCGTTGTTCCACTTTCCTCAATTAAGATCAAGCCATTGAAACAGATGGTTTTCTATCAGGAAATTAACATTGGCACTCAATGGATATGAAAGAAAAGCCATAAAAGCTGAGAGGGAGAAAATGTTAAATTGGCAGGCCCAAAATGCAAAGCAGCTGCCAGTTTCAGCTCTGAGTTAAATTAGATAATACAGCAGTGGAAGTGGAAGATTGTTCACTATTTTTTATTTTTGGTTTTTTTTTAAAAAAATCCCTCTGATTGATTGATTGATTGATTGATTGATTGATATTTGTGTACCATCCCATCACATAAAGTTCCCAGGGCGGATTGCAATAAAGAAATGTAAAACAATTTAAATACAAAATAACACAATAGCAACAATAACAGCAGACTTGAGGCAAAATGTCCCATCACCGCTGCCACTGCTGCCACTGCTGCCTCTGCTGTGGGCACATACCCACCACCAGGGCTGGATTTAAGTTTGATGAGGCCCTAAGCTGCTGAAGGTAATGGGGCCCTTTATATGTCCAGCTGTCCTTGGTCAACAACATATTGTCACTGTTTTTTGTGTTGAATATATGCTATACGGTAATTTACGAACCTAATATATATCTAAAGCCATTTGCCACTGTTGCTATATGTAGGTTTTATTTTATTTGTCTTTTATCTTGTGTTTTGGAAATGTACATCCAGTTTTTTCCCTTTAAATTTTTTTGGGGGCCCCAAGAGAGTGGGGCCCTAAGCTATAGCTTGTTTAGCTTATACCTAAATCTGGCACTGCCCACCACCACCATAGAGTGTATTTGCAGCAGCAGCAGTGGGGGGCACCCATGGCAGAAGAGGAGGAGGTGGGGGCACACTTGTGTAGGAAGGCAGCAGTGATGAGCAGCACACTCCTGGGGCCCAGATCTGCCACCTGAGTTGACCACTTCATTTCCTGAGCGGGCCAACCTTGAGCTTCGATTTGGATGGCACACCAAGCCAAACCATGGTCTAGCTCAATGTGGCTCAACAGCAAAACGACCAGGCAGGAGTGAAGCAGCGGCGATCTTCTCCCTAGCAGTATGCATGCTCGTGTACCTGCACTGAGCCATGGTTTGGCTTAACAAAACGTATGAACCAAACAATTTCATGCATGATACAATAACAAAGCTGGATTTGCAACTGAATGTGCACTCAGTAGGCGCTGCAGCCAGTCCCCATTCTTGCATGAATTGTGTGTTTTCAAACACCTGTTTGTTGCATTCGCACATTGCATTTTTAGGTGTAAGCTTCTTTTTAAAAAACCAAAAACCTCCTTGTTACACTCCCAAAATGTAATGTATGAAGAGACCTTAATAGTCTATATCTCTTTTAAGGTATTTTGCAACTACCGCAGGCTGCTGAGAACAACTTAATGCCTTCTGTCTTTGCACATCTGTTCCAGCTGAGCCTGTACTGCCTACGAAGAATCCTTCCCTCTCCTTGGTCTTGTCTGTAGTGACATCTGCCCTCGTTGCTGCTCTGATTCTAGCCTTTTCTGGGATCATGATAGGTGAGTTCCTTCTTGACCCAAAACATGCTGAAATCAGCAATACTCACTGAATGTGGTGCATCCTCCGGCCTTAATCACCTGAATGGCATAGCAAGAATGATTGCCGTTGTGACCATTGTAAATGGCTGTTGATACAGCAGAGGAGCCCAGTTATAGAAGTGAGCTTTATCTGGGCTGCAGAATATCCTAGTTTCACATACAACCAACGCAGCACATAGTGGGCTGAATTAAGGGAATGGACTAAATTAAAGGAGTGAGAAATGCATCGATTGGTTGGCTTATTGACTGATGGAGTGATTTATTGCAGTCCTCAGGTTTTTTAAAAGTTATTAATAGCACACATGTTGTGTTCTGGTTGTCTCCTTATAGATTAGTTAAGTAGGCTGTTTGTATATGACCTGTGTTAAAATCCCGCTTCAGCTAGAAAATCACTTGAGCAGGCTTTGGCAAATTGCTATAATTCTCCCACCCCATCCGGTTTATCCCTGCCTCTGCTTCCCTAAAAGGCTCTCTTTTGTCTGTCTGGGTCAAATTATAGACGACTAAACATTCTTGGTTATGGACCATTCCTTCTGCATTCTGTGAAGTGCCATGAACATTGATGGTGCGATCATAATCTCTATCATTGTCATTACTTCAAAGATATTGGTGTGTCTGTTCAAATCACAGCCCTGGGTCATGCTAGTTGGCGGGTGATGCCAGTTTTCCTCACAGTTAAAAGTGCAAAAACAACAACAAATACATCCTTCAAATACACTGTGCTGTTTGTAATCTTTAAAAAATAACCCTGCAAAGAAGGCCAGCACTATAGTACACTGTATTGTATACAGGGCTTCAGCCTGAGGTCCAGCTCCAAGGGCCTTCTCGCAGTTCCCTCATTTCAAGAAGTGAAGTTACAGAGAACCAGGCAGAGGGCCTTCTTGGTAGTGGCACCTGCCCTGTGGAACACCATCCTGCCACATGTCAAAGAGATAAACAAGTATACGACCTTCTGTAGACATCTGAAGGCAGCCTTGTATTGGGAAACTTTTAATGTCTGATGCATCATATGTTTTTTATATTCTGTTGGAAGCCACCCAGAGTAGCTGGGGCAACCCAATCAGATGGGCTGAGTACAATAAAGTTATTATTATTATTATAGATGGGGAGCTGAGGGTGAGAGAGAGTATCTGGCGTAAGGCCATCTAGTTGAGTTCATCACAGTAATGAAATTTGGTCTTGCTTCTAGGGACTAGATAAGGAACCTCTAGGACTAGATCTAGGACCTAGACAGCATCTTAAAAATCAGAGACATCACCTTGCCAACAAAGGTCCATATAGTTAAAGCTATGGTTTTCCCAGTAGTGATGTATGGAAGTGAGAGCTGGACCATAAAAGAAGGCTGATCTCCGAAGAATTGATGCTTTTGAATTATGGTGATGGAGGAGACTCTTGAAGAAGAAGAAGAAGAAGAAGAAGAAGAAGAAGAAGAAGAAGAAGAAGAAGAAGAAGAAGAATAGTAGTAGTAGTAGTAGTAGTAGTTTGGATTTGATATCCCGCTTTATCACTACCCAAAGGAGTCTTAAAGCAGCTAACATTCTCCTTTCCCTTCCTCCCCCACAACAAACACTCTGTAAGGTGAGTGGGGCTGAGAGACTTCAAAGAAGTGTGACTAGCCCAAGGTCACCCAGCAGCTGCATGTGGAGGAGCGGAGACGCTACACCACACTGGCTCTCTTGAGAGTCCCATGGACTGCAAGAAGATCAAACGTATCCATTCTTAAGGAAATCAGCCCTGAGTGCTCACTGGAAGGACAGATCCCGAAGCTGAGGCTCCAATGCTTTGGCCATTTCATGAGAAGAGAAGACTCCCTGAAAAAGACCCTGATGTTGGGAAAGATTGAGGGCACAAGGAGAAGGGGACGACAGAGGACGAGATGGTTGGATAGTGTTCTCGAAGCTACCAGCATGGGTTTGACCAAACTGCGGGAGGCAGTGGAAGACAGGAGTGCCTGGCGTGGGGTCACGAAGAGTCGGACACGACTAAATGACTAAACAACAACAAGGACTAGATCAGGCCCACAAGCAACCAAATGGCCATTCCTCATCTTAACAAACCAACTAATCAAGCACACATTAAATTTCATTACTTTGTTAAAAATTACAAAGAAGCTGCATGTTTGTGTTGCAGGACTAATTTCCCCTCTTGGACACACAAATCTTGCGCTTCTGCCTCGGAATCCTGAAGGAGTCTTTTGCATAGTTCTTAAAAGCAAGAGTCTTGCGATAGGAGAAATGTGGAGGCGTGATAATAGGCTTTCAAATCCCTGCTCCTATTACTACACCAGGTTTACTCCATCAGCTTTCCCTCCACCCCTTGCACACAGCAAAGTAACTTATCTGTTGGAATAGATATAGAGCTGAAACTACAGTACAAGTACTGCAGTACTGTGTTAATCTGCCCAGAGTCAAGAACATGCTGTGGGAACTCTCATGCCCAGCTCCAATTACTTTTTCAAAGTAACTTTTTGCATGTCCAATTAATTCTAGTCTTGTACTTTCCCCCCTAGGCATGTAATGCTCCCACAGGAACTTGAAAGGTTAAAACAAGGACTTGATGGATGAGTTTGGAATCCACAAAATGTTAGTTGCCCCCTTTAAAACACTCTCAAGGGCAGGAAAGGACCAGAAAATTAGTAAAGAAAACTAGGTCTAAAACCCTTCCAAAATTCTTCTCCCAAATATTTATTTATTCTGTGCTCCATGTGAATCAGATCACATGCGTCACTAATATTGATGGGCACTAGCGTCCACACACTTTCTGCAAGAGCCCCGTTTCAGTTTTCTACACTGGGGAGAACTAAGGCATTTCTGTGGAAGGCAAATTAAGAGCTAGACACAACTTTCACGCAGTTTGGTCCTGCACTGTTGTTGTTGTTGTTTTCTTTTGCAAATAGCTGGCAAAAACCCTACCCCACACCCTGAGTCTGATAGGGACCTGAGTCTATAGCCTTGCACCTGGTATTTTCAATGGTAGGAAATCCCTTATTGACACTAATGAGGCCTTTCCTTCACTTGCAAACTTCAAGGGAGGGCTGAATCGAATCAGGTCCATTGCAGGGGGAAAGGGTTAAAGCCCCCTCCTCCTCCCATGTCACGGTTCTGATCCAGCTCAGGGGAGGGGATATACCACTCATTTGTATAGCAAACAACAGCTTTACATGAAGCCCAAAGTACCTGACAAATGCCACATCTGCTTTGGCCCTGTGGGGTATAAAAAGAAATGCATTGTAAGAGTATTTGTGATGGTTACTTCTTTTCTTTTCTTTTTTTGGTACCTATAATAATAATAATAATTTATTATTTATACCCCACCTGTTTGGCTGGGTTTCCCCAGCCACTGTGGGCGGCTCCCAACTGAATATTAAAAACATAATACAGCATTAAACATTAAAAGCTTTCCTAAACAGGGCTGCCTTCAGATGTCTTTTAAAAGTAGGATAGTTGCTTGACATCTGATGGGAGGGCATTCCACAGGGCAGGCGCCACTACCTACATCCATGGGCTCCTGGTTGAAATTTAAAATCTTTCACAACTAAATGGGTCATCATGCACTCTGGGGTGCTGGAGGAAGTTTTACATGCTGGGAGGCTCTCAGACCCAGCACCCAGGGTTGGCACTAGTGTGGGCCCTGCTGTGGCCCTGGCAGCTCTCTGAGATAGTTGGGTCCTGACACTGTGTGTGTGTGTGTGTGTGTGTGTGTGTGTGTGTGTGTGTAGATAGAGAGAGATATAAGGAAGAAGAACCACATGCATTCCTTTTTTATATATATAATAATTTGCATTCCAAAATAAATGTGGTTGCAAATAACATCCATGATGGTGCACCAAGGAGTGAGGCAGTTCCAATCTTCCACAGGGTGGGCACCACATGAATGGATGCCTCTAATTGTGGCAAGCTGTGATATCATTCAACAGTGACACTTATCTCTGAGGTTGGGTGCCTTTGTGGGATGGTGCCTGCTGTGCCCCGTGATCTGACATGGGACATGGGACCTCTGGCATGTGTTTTCCCAGGCCAGCGCAACACCAAATTGGCCTCGTGCCGGCCTGGAGAGTGGATTCCAGCCTGACTGACACTTGGCCAGTCACCGACTGTTGGTGTGTGCACAGCACCCCTCCCATACACCTCGCCTTGGCAGTCACTCTGTGGTGGTCTGCCTAAGCAGCACAGCACAGACCTCCAGCACTTGATTGTCTGCCTCATATGAACTACAAGTATTACATCACCTCCTATCTTAATTTCAAAGCTGAAAAGAAACCCCAGCTTCAGACTGAGTGGCGTAGAAGTAACCAGAGCTCTTAGTGCAAATTGCTTTTCAAGGTGCACTCAGATGAAAGCCCACACCCCTAACTTACTGTGCTCTGTTTCTAGTGTACCGTCGGAAACACCAGGAACTTCAAGCTATGCAGATGGAGTTACAGAGCCCCGAGTATAAACTGAGCAAGCTGCGAACCTCCACCATTATGACTGACTACAACCCCAATTACTGCTTTGCAGGGAAGACCACATCCATTAGTGACCTCAAAGAGGTGCCCCGGAAAAATATCTCTTTGATAAGGTAAACCAGCCTCTCTGACTTCTTTATGCTCGGATGCGCTCTGCGGCAAATGTGCATGAGCAGATCCACACATGCGCCTTCTCCTTTTGTCTGGCAGTATCACACACTCATCTTTATTCACAAGCATGCAAGACCACTGCTGCTGTGGCAATGGTCTTCTGGGTGTAAAGATAGTGGAGAATGGATGGAAGCTGGATCTCTGCCCTCCCCTCAGGTTGTTCAGCCTGACAGGTAGGGAGAAAAGTTCGGCACCTGCTTCCTATGGATGATCCAAAGAGCTATCATATATAAAGCTCAGTAATGCCTCAGGCACTGGCTATAATTTGCCCAGGCTCTCTTAGACAGCACTGACATCTGGCGCAGTGACCTTTTGGAGGTTCTGCCAGTGCTTGTGACTGGGTCTCTGGCAATAAAAGTGACATCAGCAAAGGCATCTGCTCTGCCAGGCACTAGAAAACCCAGATATAGCAGTGCCAGTCTAACATGGATCTGGATTTAGATGGAAAGCATTAGCAAGTTAAGGTAAATTCCAATAGGAGAAAGTTAATTTTAACCCTTATCTGTGTATTTAGATTTGTAGCTGACCCTATAAGGGTATAGAAAAGAGGGTTATATTTCCCCCCCCCTAACTTTGTGTGCCCCCTCACATTCAGTTGTTGCTTCATATGCTCAAACCCCTGTGTACATTAAATAATAATAATAATACACATGCAAATTGAAGATTTCACTAAAAGGCTATTCCTTACTGAGAGGCAGAAAAATTAAGCCCGTCAAATATGTTAGGGTCGAAAAGATCTCAAATATGGTCAGATTTCACACTTAATACAACTGCTGATTCATACCAATGAAGCAGTTAGAATTAAAAGTTGTTAACATTTTAATACACACATCCCGAAGGATTTGAGTGGCAGGGGAGGCCAGGGAAGGTGGGGAAGAAAGATTTCTGAACTTTATGCTTTACATGAGAGTCATTACAGTCTACGGGTACACTATCTCTCTTGCAGTTCTGAGTTATAAATAGCAATCCTTAATGAAGCTTTATGTGTCCAACACATATGTTTGAACTGTGAATTAATTGGGTCTAACTAATTAAAATGCTCAAATGGTGTTCCAACCTCGAGGAGGATAAAAGGTAAAGGTAAAGGTACGGGCCAGTCTTGACAGACTCTAGGGTTGTGCGCCCATCTCACTTAAGAGGCCAGGGGCCAGCGCTGTCCGGAGACACTTCCGGGTCACGTGGCCAGCGTGACAAAGCTGCATCTGGCGAGCCAGCACAGCACACGGAAACGCTGTTTACCTTCCTGCCAGTAAGCGGTCCCTAATTATCTACTTGCACCCGGGGGTGCTTTCGAACTGCTAGGTTGGCAGGCGCTGGGACCAAGCAACGGGAGCGCACCCCACCGCGGGGATTCGAACCGCCGACCTTTTGATCGGCAAGCCCTAGGCGCTGAGGCTTTTACCCACAGCGCCACCCGCGTCCCACTCAAGGAGGATGGGGGTGCCTAAATTTCACTTGCCACTGTTTGCATGGTTGGCTTTCAGTTAATGGTTTGTTGTAGGAAATAGGTTCACACTGTTTTGAGTTTTAGCTCCGGACTGTTCATGCTCGCTGAGCATGCTAAACTGAAGAGGGCCCAGTCTATTTCCTGTAAAAGCTACTCCTGCCTTCATCCAATAGAGTTGCAAGTAAGCCCAACCTAGTGAGGCTACACTGGGCAAGCAAATCTACCCTTCAGGTGGGTACACAATGGTACTTTCTTAGGCAGAGACCTAGTCCATCCAGCATCATGCCATCGGAACTAGCAGTGGATGATCTTCGCCGGTTCTGATATCTGAGCGTCTTTGTTCTGAAGATGCCAAAGGTTGACCAGAGAGGGCTTGTACATTCATTGAATTCTAGAGTTGGAAGGGATACTGGACTTCGCCTAGCCCAAGGTTGCTCAGGGCAGCATCTGCAATGCAGGATGCCACTGTAGCATTTCTGATAAATGGCCTTTCAGGATACATCATAGGGGAGCCCACACCACCCCTAGAGGCACTCTGTTCCACTGTCAAAGAACTCTTACTGTTTGGAAGTTTCTCCTAACGTTTGGGCAAAGTCTGCTTCCCTGCAATTTTCACCCACTGCTTCCAGCCCTACCCACAGGAGCAACAAAGAAAAAGTCTGAATTTGGAAGCATGTGTTGCACCCATCCCTTTGACGAGGAGGGTGTTATTGGGTTGTTGTTTTTATTTTGATTATATTGTGGTTTGATATTTTGATTTTGTTCTGTGAACCGCCCTGAGATTTCTTAGTATAGGGTGGTATATAAATTCAATAAATAACATAAAAATAATAACAAGAGTACACCATCTGCAATAAGGAATCTTAGGCCCAGATGGGCCCCAGGGAGCACTGCATTCTGACATTGCCCTACACTGGCAGTGAGGAAATCACCAAGTTTTAATCCATCTGGAGCATGACAGGGAACCCAGGGAAGCAAAAGAAGGAAGTAATGGGGAGGGTATTGTGTGCTGCACTTTACATTCGGCTTTTAAAAAAATGGTGGCCCTGTGCCAGTAAGAATGACTTTCCTGTGTCAAGAGTAATTGGTAGCTGCTATCATGACAATGTCATTTCAGCTTGTAAAGCTATGTGGTGGTGATGCCTGTTCGCTGGAGAGCACGGCATGCTGTGTGATCCTAGTGTAGTAAGAAATTATAGCGCAGTACAAAAAGCCAAGGAACTAGCTAGGAGCCTTAATCAAGCATCTGAAAAACACAAGGCAGAAACAGCTCCTAATTTATTATATCTGCGCAGAGGGCACATTGGGGGGAACAGCTTTGCAGTGGATCTTGTTCCCATGTTTGGGGGGGCAAATTGATGCTTTTGAATTATGGTGCTGGAGAAGACTCTTGAGAGTCCCATGGACTGCAAGAAGATCAAACGCATCCATTCTTAAGGAAGTCAGCCCTCAATGCTCACTGGAAGGACAGATCGTGAAGCTGAGGCTCCAGTACTTTGGCCACCTCATGAGAAGAGAAGACTCCCTGGAGAAGACACTGATGCTGGGAAAGATGGAGGGCACAAGGAGAAGGGGGCGACAGAGGACGAGATGGTTGGATAGTGTTTTCGAGGTTACCAGCATGAGTTTGACCAAACTGCGGGAGGTAGTGGAGGACAGAGGTGCCTGGCGTGCTCTGGTCCATGGGGTCACGAAGAGTCGGACACAACTAAACAACTAAACAACAACTACAAATCTCTAAATTGTCGGTTCAGATTCCCTAGCGTGAGGCAGCCTTCCTCACAGCACATGCTGTGGCACTCTTGAAATAAAGCCACCAACTGAACAGAATACAGGCCATCTAACATTTACTAGAACCAGTCAATATCCATCAAAGAGCCAAAAAATAAAATTTATAGCAACGATTGTTGGCTTAGATGTGCTGCTGCTGCTGCTGCTTCTCAGGCACCAAAGGTCTAATGATGTAGCAGGATCCAAGTGCCAAGCTCTTACCAGGCTAGTCCCAGCTGGAATTGTGCATTTTAGACCATGAGAAAACAGAGGTAAAAAGAAAAACTCAGGGGGGATGCAACCAGCTATCTCCCACACCATGTCTGCTTGACTCTTATTGCCTGTGCTGCCATAGAAGCTTCATGGAGAAGAGAACTTTTGTCTTTACAGAGACACCACCACAGGTGATGACTTGCAGGAGGCATTCCTGCTATCAGGCCTATGAGGATTAGGCAAAGCAAGAGACTCGTATGGTTCCAGCTGATTCTATAAGGCTGCTGTCCTCTCCCTGGCTTCTCTGCAAGAGGCTCCCCGTCATTGATTTCCATCAGACCACCAACCCGGACAGTTGTTCTGTGTATTATGGGTTTGCAACCAGCTGTTGCAAGAGCAATTGGCAGGGGGTTGTCTTTCTTTACTCATCATGGTTTGGGTCCTGGGAAAACATAATATTCCAGGACCCAAGTATTGCTATTGAAAGAAAATCCTGTGCAAAACCTACCTATGGTTTCAAATTAGCTTCCTGGAAAAGTCCTAAGCAAGTCTGTTGGCAATTTGATGACTCCACTATTGTGTACAGTATTGGTTTTTAAAACTCAGCTAGACAGGTTTTGCAAGGCCCCTCCTTCTGAGACAGTCAGTCCATCACACTTGTCAGAAATCTGTCATCTCCTCCTAATGGCCCCTTAAGGTGCAAAAAAAAAAAAAATCCATCTCTTAGTTACTTTTTTATGTTGATTTCTGGAATAGTAATTGGCAATGTTCTTTGAGATGAAATTTGTTTTATTGATGCAGTCTTTTCCCTAGGAGAAGACTGCCTGCATTGTTCTGTGCTTTGTGTTTATTGCTTATTTTTCTTGCTGTTTCCTGTGGTGTTTCAAGCCTGCTTTCAATATTTTCCTTTCTGCACAAATATACCCAATCAGTTGCAACTCTCTGTGCATGTGAGACATTGGGTGATAGCTCCATTCCCCCCCTTCTTCCTCTACCTACCTCCACATACAAACATGCTGAGCCTTCAACTCATTGAGCCCCGGTAGCCATGTTCTGCCTCTGGACCCCCAAAGCCCTCCTGAGATTTGCCTGCTTCTCTGCTGCTCGTACAACGTTTTTATATTTTTATTAATCAAAGGCTGGAATGAGCAGTGACACAAAACTTGTGTAATGAGCACACAGGAGAAAATCTATCTTAACAGGGTGCATGATTTATTTATTTGCTCATTTTCTGTATTCTTTTAAATAATTAATCCCGAAACCCACTTTATAAAAATTGTTCAACATCTACAGTAATCATGCTTAGCTTTGGCACACAATTACTCTGCTGTGAGTCTGGGGTGCCATGCAGAATTTGTTACTCCCATTGTACACTTCCAACATGCTAAGGCCACGGTCTGTAGTCAGCAGTTGCAAACCACCTTAATATCCCCAGTAGATGACTTATGCCACAATAAAGATGGAGGGATGTGATATTGTTGATTCTTTTGGACCATTTAGCATCCTTTGATGCCATCATCCATGTTATCCTTATGAGTCCATCTACCAACCATAAAACCCTTCTGATTGGGCTATGTGGGTTGGGAACTGGGAGCACCATGCTGGATGGCCAGTTCCAGAAAGGGCTGCAACGTTTGTGGTATTGGGGCCCCTAGAATAATTCCATCTTGTCTGCCATGCTTGTCAACATCTACTTGAAGCTGTTGAATGAGATCATCTGAAGATGCGGACTGAAGTGGTACCCAACTCTGCCTCCCCTTTTCATCTCATTCTAATGGGCAGTAGAAGCAGTCAACCAGTGTCATGGACTGGTTGGATGGAGAGGAATGGTGGGAGGAGCCAGCTGGGGAATCGCCAATGGAAGAATGGGAGTGGTGGTGGGGCAACAGTGAGTGGTCAGAGGGAAAAGAGGAGGAAGACTGGGAAGAGTAGTTGTCGGAAGTTGATGACTTGTCTTCTACCTCTACTGTCAGAGGAAGAATGCCTCAGACTGCCAATTGCTGGGATTCACAAGTGGGGAGATCACTCAAGTCCTGCTTGCTGGCTTCCCATAGGCTGGTCACTTTGAGAACAGGACCTTAGAATAGCATAGGCCTTTGGCTGATCCAGCAGGGCTGTTACAAATTTCCCTCACTTTGTCCTGTACTGCATATGAAAATAGGATTTTGCCCATATTGCTTCCCTGCTCCCTGCACAATGTATTATAGCAGTGGAGATGGGGGGAACAGTTCATCTTGCTTACATTTAGAGTCAGTTGAATGGGACCCCAGGGGTCATCCAGTCCAATCCCCTGCAATGCAGGAATCTTGTCCACAACATTACAGTTTCATTACAGAATCCTGATCAAGCCATGGCTATTTTAATCTTAGTCAAGGCAGCCCAGCATATTCCCTTTTTGTTGGAAGAATGGACCTTCCCATAACTGAAGTATAAGTGATCAGCTGCCATAGTAGATACCATAGTTAGAGATGGTTGGGGTTTTGGGGATTGCTGTTTTTTTGAAGCAGCAATGTTTTATGGGTAAATTGCACTAATGAGGCCTTTGTGTAACTAAGGGGTTGGCCAAGTACAGGTGATTTATTGCCATAGTAGCTAATGGTCAGAGATGTTGTTTGGAAGCAGCAAGTCAACATAATGTATAATGTGTCATTATGCGATTATTCTTTTTGTTTTTTAAAAAAAAACCTTTCCTTTTTCTAGGAGCCAAAAATGATTAATTCACAGTGAAAACATATACAATGCGATTTAGTTCTGGGGTGGACTTCAGGGTGTTGGAACACCACAAATTTATGCATAAATACAAATTCTGAATATTTCATCAGCATCTGTGCCACTTAACAAGGGAGTTGAGGGTGTTGCTAGTGGCAAGTTCCTCTGCGGAGTGTCTACTAGTGCCAATGGTAACATTACATTAACAGTACTCCATGTAACCAGTTTGTAACATGCCATAAAGCGGGAAGCAGGCATGAGCAACACAAAACGTCAGGGGTGCAGAACTTCTTTCTCTTTCCCTAAATGAATTTTCCCTAAAGGAACATTTGTCAGTGTGCATTCAAGGGATTTACGTAGGCCTAACCTTTCTCCGTTTTGTATGAAACTGACATATTGAGATATGTATGGTATTTTAATCCTCCTTCCCTTTTCTGATTTGTCTAGGGGTTTAGGCCATGGAGCCTTTGGGGAGGTGTACGAAGGTCAGGTGGTTGGCATCCCCAGCGACCCCAGTCCCTTGCAAGTGGCTGTAAAAGTAAGTGGAAAAACCAGTGACGAGTGTCCGTGGTGATGGTTAGGTGCCATATTTCATCAAATGAAAGCAGCATGTCTGAGTTCACTATCTTGGTTTCTCCTGATTATGGCAGGTTGGGGAAGCTGAAGAATCTAGAATGTCTCTTCAGAAATCAATATCACTTTTAGTTCAGCACAATGGCAGATTTTTAATTCCCAGGTACATTTTTAAAAACTCCAGTTAGTTGAAGAATTTCTGGGTGCTAGAAAGGATCCTCTAGGCAAGGCATGGCCAAACTTGGCCCTCCAGATGTTTTGGGACTACAGCTTCCATCATCCCTAGCTAACAGGACCAGTGGTCAGGGATGATGGGAATTGTAGTTCCAAAACATCTGGAGGGCAAGTTTGGCCATGCCTGCTCTAAGCAATAGCATGATTTCCTGTTGCCTTCCAGCCCCTTCCCCTTCTGCATTCTGATGCTTTCTAGGTTTACAGCCGTTATTGTGGGTGGTTCCATCAACAGACAACTGGAGTTTTTTTCTTGCTTGGAGACAGAGTGATGGGAAAACAGGTTTCTGCCTGTTTTACAGCTCTTAAATACAGAGTGCCTCTGTCGATAAGAAAGGCAGCAACTGTAAAGTTTCCTTGTGAGAGGAATGGAGTCTATAATAGGTCCGTGCAGGTCCATGAGAAGGACAGTTTGTTCACGTTTTTCCTCTTGCTTCTTTCTTGTCTAGACTTTGCCAGAGGTTTGTTCAGAGCAAGACGAGCTGGATTTCCTCATGGAAGCTCTAATAATCAGGTGTGTTAATTCAAGTTGATCAATGGCCTTTCAACCTAGGCAGAATTAAAAGCAGTGGGTGGGGGGAAATGTTGAACTGCTTTTATGCAGGTGAAAACCATTTCAATAATACATAACATTTATATACGTAATGCTTTAAGAGTGTTCAAAGTGATTAAAAGACATTTTCTTGTTGTGTTTCTTACAACTTTTTAAGATAGGTCAGCATTATTTCCCCCAAATTACCTGAGGTGGGACTGAAGCTGAAAGACAGAGGGCATTGCCTAGGAATTCTTGTTGTTGTTGTTTTGTTTGTACCTTACCCATCTGACTGGGTTGCCTAGCCAGTGAGTTTATGGCAGGAACAAGATTCTCCCACAATGTCTCTTTGGCCGCTATGTTTATTTAGTTCATAAAATTTATACATGCTTGACTGTAGACAAACAAACAAAGTGGTTTACAAAAAGATAAAAGAAGAAAATCAAGGAAAAAAATTACAGCAATAGCTTGAAGCATTCAAAAAGTTACAATATTAAAACAGGTTAAAATTCACACCAGCTTTCTAAGTATCTGGGTAGGCTTGTCTACACAATCATGTTTTTACCTTGTTTTACAAGAATGACACCACTTCAACAAGAATAACATTTTCCAAAGCAAATGCATCCCCAAACTCAGCCCTCCAGATGTTTTGGGACTACAATTCCCATCATCCCTGACCACTGGTCCTGTTAGCTAGGGATGATGGGAGTTGTAGTCCCAAAATATCTGGAGGGCCGAGTTTGGGGATGCCTGGGCTAGATCAGGATCTCAAACCTGCCCAGCAAGTATTTACCGTTTGATTTAAAAGCTGTTTCTTCATCTCCTTTTCAGCAAGTTCAACCATCAGAATATTGTGCGCTGCATTGGGGTGAGCTTGCAGGCTCTGCCACGCTTTATTCTGCTGGAACTCATGGCTGGAGGAGACTTGAAATCTTTCCTGAGGGAGACACGGCCTAGGCCGGTAAGAAGGAAACAGTTGCTTAATGCTGGGATCTGAGGCCCTTGTCTCCAAGTAGGTCTCCCTTGGTTAAATGTAGCCTAATTTTCTTCACATATCTCAACTGCTTCCTTTAAAAGAACCTTTGTGGTGTTTTTGTGGCTCTTCCTCTCCCACCCTTTCTTGAACTTTAGAACTGTTAGGGGAGATATATAAACACGTAGCAGGTCTTGTTCTGATGGGGTAGCTGAGCAACACTTCACCATGCAATCAGCTTGCACCAGGATCCATAGGTGCCAACTCTCTGGGGCCCTGGGTGCCCGATCACCCACAAAATTCCCCATGAAGGGGCCGGGCACCCACACATTTTGGTGCCAGGGCCATGCATGCTGCACTCCTAGCGAAATCTTTGAAGTGATCTTCTGTTTCACTTGAACGTAGGGGAGTCTGCATTAAGAGAGAATCTACCACCATTCTAAATATCAGCATAATAAAGCTGCAGTTGTTACTCTACCTGTTTCTCAATTCTGGATTGGATGAAAGGTACAGATGATCTCTTGGAACAGACTGTTCCTTCTGTTTCAAAATTTGCAAGTTTTCAAGGTATATAGCACTCTTCCTCAATCATGAATAAATAACATTTACACATTCGTTTTTTGGAGTGCTGCTACATAATTTTGAGAATAGAATTCTTGCTGGAAATATTGAACAAGGAACTGGTGTTACAGGAAGGAACTGTTTGAAAAGGTCGTCAAGAAGCCTGAGTCTTTGTTTGCGGATGCTAATAGCATTGTTACCCTATAAAGGTGGTCTGGAAATACGCTGGTTCTCTTTAGCCAAAGAAAGACAGCAGCTTCGTTCAGAGTTCAAATTTATTTCAGACTGCATTAAGAATAAATGATCCAGAGGAATTCTCCAAATTCTGGACCCTGAATACAAAATTCAAGAAACTTTTATAACATTCTGTTACATGTTTAGCTTGTGAATGATCCCTTTCAGCAACATGATTGGATAACAGAATGTGTGTACAGCTTGTGGACTCATGTTCACTTCTAATTGGTTTCCAAAAAATATGCTCCGTCTACTATCTGTACCATGGCATCAGATAGTTTATAAATTCACTCTTCTTCTGTCTCGTGCATAATGTTGCATCTTTGGTAGTCTGTTACATAAAGAGGTCAGTTTGGAGCTTCTAGTCTCTTCAAGGCCACTTTGCCTTTCTGGTATGTGAAGCTGATAAGCAACGCTCTACTTATTAGCAAAAAGACAGGTTGAGGTGCATTTAAAATCTCTGCTTAGCTAGGTATGTACTTTTATGCAGGACAATGGCACAGATACATTGTGGTTGTGACTGAGAACATGTTTATGCAGGCTCAGCACTTAGCAGGCTGAGGTCAGCTGCGTATCAGAAACATGTTCTGTGACACAGGGTGAGAGCATGTCAGTATAGGGGTATTCTGTACTTCACCTTCCAGCTAGCCTGAAGGAACTTGGCAGTTCTCCTGCGTTCCTAATCGGCAAAACCTCTCCTTGTTGTCCTGCTAGCTGCTGATAGCAGACTGTAAGCTATTGTTCAGTAGAAACTGACTCAAACCAGAAATAATAGTGCTGTGAAAGCAATGTATGTTCAGAAATGCCTGTCTGCTGTGTTGACCCCAGTGAGTCTCATTCCCCTGGGTTCCCCGGTAATGACACTCAGGTATCAGCATACGTAGTTCTTTCATTTTAAAACATGTTTTTCAAATTACTAGAGAGTCTTCCCATTACTGACCAGCGCCGACTTCATGAAAAAGATAACTTCGTATAATTGCTTTTTCTCCTGTCATGCAGAGAAATTGCAGCCACTGCTAAATAGTGACTGTCATGTCAGAACAGATCCAGTGTGTAATGAACTCACATAGCACCCAACTTGAGGGAAGCTGAAATTATTATTATTATTATTATTATTATTAAAGACACAATCCGTTTTAAATAAAAGCTGATTTAAAGGAACTGAAGAATATAAGAAGAGGCCTGCCTGATCAGATGAATGCCGTCTAGTTCAGCATTCTGATTTGCTAAGCTCCCAAGCCGGACCTGAGCACAATAGCTCTCTCCTGCGCATGATGCCATTCTGAGGCATGCTGCCTCTGTTACTGGAAGTAATATAGCCACCATTTGTAGCACACACTGATATCCTCCATCAATTTTTAAATCCCCCTTTAAAGTTGGTGGCCTCCATCATTACATCTTGTGGAAGCAAATTCCGTACTTTAACTTGAAATGTTGAAATACTTTATTGTCACTTGTACAACTTGTATACAGTGAGATTAGACGAGCACACACCCCCCCCACTCAGCTCTCTTAGTCTTAATTCCCCTTGTTTACTGACGCACACCTACCAAACCCGAAACTCAGTTGCCCTGTTGTTATCTTTTCATTCAGCAGTCTAACAGCCCACGGATAGAAGCTGTTCTTTACCCTGTTGGTGCAACTAATCATGCTTCTATATCTTCTGCCTGAGGGCAGGAGATCAAGAAAGTGCCGGCCAGGGTGTGAATCATCCCTGAGAATTTTCCTCACTCTCCTGAGGCAATGCTCTTCCGCTATTTCATCCAGCGGATTCACGGGACAGCCCATAATATCTTGTGCTGCATTCACCACCCTCTGTAGGCACTTCCTATCAGTTGATGTCAAACCAGTGATTTGCACTATTTGAAGAATTACTTCTTTTTACCTCTCCTGGATCTCCCAATCTTCAGCTTCATTTTATGACCTTAGGTGCTAATATGTGAGGAAAGCCTCTTTGTCTCCACTTTCTCCACACCAAGCACAATTTTGTATAACTGTATTACATCCCCACACAAACTCACATTTTTAAAAACAAAACAAAACACCCCAAATATTGGAACATTTCCTCAATCTGCTTGCTTTGTTTGCACTTTTCCCAGTTGCACAACTATCATTTTTGGGGTGCAGTAACCAGAATTGAACAAGGTACCCCAAATGTGGTCATTGTTTAGATTTGTAAAAAGGCATTCTGATATTGGAAATATTATTTTCAATCCCTCTCTTAACAGTCCTGGACATGAAATTCAGCTCTTTTTTACAGCTGCTGCATATTGGGTCAACCTTTTCACTGAGCTATTCTCCATGAGCCCTCTCTCCCTGCCAGTTATTTATCTCAATTAATGTATATTTTTCGCCCCAGCATGTATCACTTTGCACTTGCTCGCATTTGCCATTTTAATCCCCATTCACTCACTTTAGAGACATCTTTTTTAATCTACTAGCAATCCCTTTTTGTTTTGTTTTTGCCACCCTGAATAATTGGTGCCACCAGCAAAATTAACCACCTCAGATTAAGTCAACCAATGCACACCATAGGGAATCAAAGCTGTGTATAATATTTTAATTTTTTTTCTTCTAAATGATTACAGTATTATATTTGATGTAGTTTCAACACTTGTTTCCAACACTGAGTACAAAATGTCACCCAATATTCTGCTTTTTAACATTTGGCTACTCAAAGCTATCCCTGTGGCTGCTCAAAATGAGCTTTCGTGGTCCGCATAACAACTGACAATGATACTTTGTGCATCTGAAAAAGAGAGATCTGGCCCATGAAAGCTTGTGGCTCAACAAATGTGCTAGCTTTCAAGGACTTGTTGGTGACATCTGCATAAAACATTACAGTATGATTTAGCAGCTAGGGAGATGGAGATGAACCTCCGTAGGCCTGAGCAATGCATTGGGCTTGTGTGTTGTTCCTCCTACATGGCCAAAAGAACCAGGAATCCTGGTTTGCAACAGTTAGTTAAATAAGCCAGCTTCACAAACCGTAGCTTGAAGTTGGCTTGTTTAACAACTATTGTTTGTTGTAAACCAGGATTCCTGGCTTGTACGTAACGCTAGACGAAGATTGTTTGACAGCAAAACTAAACTCGGCAGAAGCCCTCCTGGGCAGAAGAAGGGGAGGTAGAAAGAGGAGGGTCCAACACTCATACATGTGGTGATAAACCGTGGTTTAATGTTACACAAAAACAGGGCCATAGAATCGGAGTTGGAAGTGGGCTCATAGGTCACCTTGTCCAATCCCTTCCCACGCAAGAAAAAAGCCACAGTGTTTTTTCTGCAGCAAACTAACACAGTTATCCCTCTAGAATTATTCATAGTGAGTTTACACAATCAATATGTGGCTGTTTTTCTGTGGTTGGTTTCTTGGATTGAGAAGCAGGCCTGTAGATGTCATTTTTAAACGTTCATGCTCTCTAGCTAGGAGCGCAAGATGCTTTGTATTGTTGGTTGTTGCGGGTCACAACACAGTGCATGAGTCCTTACAGCTAAACACGTGGCAGGAAACAGGGACACATAGTGACAGAACATAGCATTAGCCAACCTGAGCTACGAAGAGCGGTGGCTAGTCATAGAGCACTGCATTAGCTCTCTTAACACAAATATGATAGGATAAGTCAGACCACAGCAGTTCCTACTATAATGTACAAAAGCAAGCACCATGGAGAAAACTAGGGGGAAAGCAAACACATGACAGGATCTTTGGAGAAATAAATGAGACCTCAAAGCTCTGGCAGGAAAAATGTGCATCCATGTGGGTTTTAATACAAACACAGACCCTTGTGGAATACAGATAAGAGAGACTTCTTTGACTGTGTAAACTTGCACCAGCAATCTGAATCAACAGTCTGCTAAGACTGTATTTTATTTTATTTTATGTTTTATTATATTTTATACTCATTGAATACGATTTCCTTCACTTGCATTTCACCTTAATTCAGAAAATTTTCTGTTGGAAGGTCATTATTTTTCCAATATGACATAAGACTGATAAAGGCAGAGACCCAAAGCTGTCCAGATTCTTGAAATTGAAATGTGCAAATACTCTGAACATAACAAACTCCTAAGGTGTTAAAAGACTTCTCTGCTCAAGGGTTTTTCACATAGAAAAGCAATCAGGAGAGGTTTTTGGTAGATAAGCAGTAATTTCCCTTCTTTGTGTCCTGCAGCATGTTGCTCAAAGCAGTGATTATGCTGAACAATGGAGTCAGTTTGTTTTGCGGTCACCTTTCGGAAGGTTTGACCTAACAAGGGGATGCGTTGCTTTAATGCTCCCAGCCCTTCCCTCCCTCCGAGCCACAACCACACAGTTTCCAGCTGGCTGCATCATCTCTTCATCTGGGGAGCAAGAGCAGCAAGGAGCTGCAAAGTGAATTTCCTTGGCATTTCAAGGCTACTCCAGTGCGCTGCATCTCTGTACAAAATGGGCCCAAACGCTTCATGTCTCAAACAAATTACCCTGCTAAATTGCCCTTGGCAAAAGAAGAGCCTCTACTTTAGCGGAGACCAAATAAAAGGCAGCAGAGGCGCTTTTCTTCTTCAACTAAGAGTTTTACATAAAACTTAGCAGTAGCCTTGCCTACCTGGCGAGGGCAATCCTAATGTCATCACCTGGGTCTGTTGTACCAAGATTGCACAGAGATCCACGAAGGGACAGCACAAAGATTTACACAGGTACATTGATGCTGCTCTCTCCAATCTTACATACTCAAAGAGTAGGGCAGGTAAGGAAGAAGAGCAAAAGAGGGTGCTTATGACAGGAGTGTTGTGTCACATCTGTTCGTATTTTGCTTTTCTTGGGTATCAATAGTTGGACGAAGCTGGGGATTGTTACAACTTTGCGCTATAGAGTTTCCCTCTCAAGCACTTTGGAAGGGAAAGCCAATGTTTGGCACAAAGCTTTCTGACTTCTTACAGAAGTGCCTATACAATATATCTCTCCTGCTGCACTAGATTGGGATTAGGTTCTTAGAAGCCTGTTTTACCTGATTTTCACTGTAATCAGTGCGGTCCCTCTCTCCTGGACATAAACGCAGATTAGAAGACAATATGCACTTCAAATCTCCCTCTCACCAACTTAGAAAACAAGAAAAGTCCTGCTGGAACAGGCCATCTTAGTTGGACAGCAGTTTCTGTTCCGGCCTGTATTCACCACAATCAGTGCTGTTTCTGTTCCACTGCAATTTGGTTTCCACCCAATACTTGCTGCCCACTATTCTACATACTTTATGCAACTTACATTCATTTCAATGTAAAGGAAACATCAAAACAGTGATGAAAAGTCATGTTTGCTGATTTAAGCACAAACTATGTGATTGAATACTGATCGTATTCACTTGACTGATTTCTGTTCCTGGCCATAGACAAACACGTGAAACTTTTTGTCAGAATTCTCTGACATCCTTACGTCTAGTCCAACATCCTGTTCACACAAAGGCCAAACAGATGCCTATAAGATGCCCAGAAGCAGAATCGGAGAATAGCAGCCCTTGTTCACTTTCACGCTTAGTTCCAGCATAGTGCCATTATTAATACATTTGATATGAATTGTCTCAATTAGGATAATTTTCCTCTTTTAAAATGCTTTTCATGCAGGTTGCAGATGGTGAGGGATGGTGGAGAAAAGGTTTAAATGGGTGTTAAATGGGTGCCCAGGACACAAGAGGATGCTCTGTGGAGGTGCTGAGGGCAGTGTGATCGTGCTCCAACTATTGAAAAAGCAGCACTATGTTTGCAACAGTGCGAGCTTCAATGTGTGCCTTTAAAATAAATGCAAACTGGAGTTTCCAAAAGGGTTAGGAAACAGATTCAGCACATATTACTGTAGCCACGCAGCTCTTTGCTTAAAGTGATCAGGTTTTGAAGATAATCCTCTGAAGCGTCATACTTTGCGTTATTTCTTTAGAGCCACCCCTCTTCTCTAGGCATGCTGGACTTGCTACATGTGGCTCGCGACATTGCTTGCGGCTGTCAATATCTGGAAGAAAATCACTTCATTCACAGGTAAGTAGCAGAAGCATTTGTTGCTGAGGGACCACTTCCAAATGCCCTGTGACTTAACTTGCAAAAGGACTAACGGGAGAATAGGAGCAGGAAACGGGCGAGGATGGTTGTGCACTACTGCCCCCTAGAGGTTCAGAACATTTTTTATATATATAAAAAAGGGAAGTTTGAGGAGCAAATTAGGTATTATATTTTCGCTGCGGCATAACAAGGTTTTGAAAGCATTTTCATATATGGCATTTCCAGGACTGTTTGAATAACTGTAGCCCTTATCTCGCTGTTCAACCAAGGTGGGAGGGTAGAGCCCAGCCAAGGTGGGCTGTGTGTGTGTGTGTGTGTGTTTAAACCAGTTGGTGGAGAAGAAAAGTTAAAGCCAGTTCCCTGTGGAACGCCCTCCCATCAGATCTCAAGGAAATAAACTACTATCTGACTTTTAGAAGACATCTGAAGGCAGCCCTGTTTAGGGAAGTTTTAAATGTTAGAAGTTTTATTCTGTTTGTAATGTTCTGTTGAAAGCTGCCCAGAGTGGCTGTGGAAGCCTAGCCTTCTACTTCAGCTTCTGGGGTCAGTGATGCAGCTAAAGTCAAAGTGGTGCAGGTCCAGTTCCAAGGGGTCGACCAAATGCCCCCACAGAGAGCAGCAGACGATGGAGGTGGTATCAGACAGGCCCAGCATCAGACCTAGCTAATATGGGGACATTGTGGGTCACTAAGGTTGATGCTGATTGGCACAGCATCCTCTTTTTAAAACAGAATCAGGGAACATAAGCTGGCCAGGCAAGAGCATGGTTACAGGTGTTCGTTTTAAAAATGCATTGTCCTTCTCTGCATACAAGACAATGCCTCCTCCCAAGTTAGACTTCAGACTTGCCACTGCCAGCACCAGGCTTTGCAAAGCAGTGGAGCTACCACCGCAACCACAGCCTGGCCACTCGCATGGCAGAAGGTGGGAGGGGGGCAGGCAGATTGGGCATCCGATCCCTGTGCTAGCTTCAGGCTTGTGTGGCAATTGGGCCTGGATCAGCCCCAGTGCTGGCCAATGTTGGCTTGGGATGCAGCAGACCCTGGCCTGGGTCAGCCCCTCCCGACCCTTGGGATGCCTCGGTCAGTGGTATCCATCAGGCTCTGCTGGCAGAGGTACCACCAGCAGGCAGAAGGTCTGCACTGGTGGAGTGACGGTGGCTGAGCCAGCAGAAGTGAGCAGAGGGATGCCTCTGATGGTGGAAGGGAGAGAGAGGGAGAGACGAGAAATGTTAGTTGTGTGCTTCACAAAAGGAACAATATACATGGTTGTCTAAAGATGGCTGCCTGTCCCCCATCAGACCATTAAGACCAGGGTCTTAGTGCTGAGGGCCTTCTGGCAGTTCCCTCACTGTGAGAAGTGAGGTCTCAGGGAACCAGGAAGAGGGCCTTCTCGGTAGTGGCGCCTGCCCTGTGGAACGCCCTCCCATCAGATGTCAAGGAAATAAACTACTATCTGAGTTTTAGAAGACATCTGAAGGCAGCCCTGTTTAGGGAAGCTTTTTAATGTTAGAAGTTTTATTCTGTTTGTAATGTTCTGTTGAAAGCTGCCCAGAGTGGCTGGGGAAACCTAGCCAGATAGGCGGGGTAGAAATAATAAATTGATGGTGATGATGCACCACTGGTATGTGTGTGTGTTTTAAAGTTAGCCCCACTGGCTCTCAAACTCATCAACTGGAGTGATTTGTGGAGCTTTAAATCTTGTGCTGCTGAGTCTCCCGTACTGGTTTTCTCAAAAAAGAAAAAGAATGAAAATGTTCAATAGTCAATTAGTTTTGTCCTTAGTTTTCCCAATGAGTTGAGCCGTTGCTCCTCCAAGGGCAGTTTCACATGCTTATTCTCCTTTCCTTTTTGTTTCTTAGAGACATCGCTGCTCGAAATTGCCTCCTTACATGTAAAGGCCCTGGGAGAATAGCTAAAATTGGAGATTTTGGGATGGCCCGGGACATATACAGGTAAGAGAACGCAGCTTATTATTAGCCCCATCGAGTGGAAGCCTACTCCATAAAATGGGGTTGGTTTATCTGGCTTAACTTCTTTGCAGGATCTTATATTTTTGCCCTAGTCAGGGGACTTGTAGTGTTTCCAAATTCCTAACTTGCAGACAGTATTAGCATTGGCTGTGACACTGGGGACTAACCCCAACTTCCGCCATTCACGTTCAGAGTCCATCATCCTGCATTCTGTTGTGAATGCATCCTCAGCCACGCTCCCATGTCTCCCTTTCCCCCCCTCCACTCTTGTGTTCTGCTTTATACTCCTTGGTGTTGACCCCGTCACTTTCAGTCTCTATGTCAGCGTCATTAGTAAATCTCTCTAGTTTACAGCATATAAAAGAGGGGGAAAGGTCAGGAAAATGTAATTACCCAACCTGGAATTTATCCAGGGCGGTTGGGATTAATGATTCTGCAGTTACAGAAAGTGCCAGGAAGACTTTAATGGCTGTGTGTGTGGTCAGGACTTCTGCTTACATCTCATCCGAAAAGCAACACTCACAGTGCCCTCTAATGTCAGGCTGGAGAACTGCTTCATCACATGACGCAATGAAGGACCACTCAACAGTTTTGACAGATGACTTACCCTTTGGCCTTTTACTTAACTTAGCTGTTTAAGAACATTATTTGCTATAGTAAAAATGTGGCATAAGGTTTGAACAGTTCATACCTTTTTACAGTGCTCTTTTCTGGGGGGACACAGGGGTACGCATACCCCTAAACATTTTGTGAATCTAAGCTTGGCCTCATTGAGGCACAGTATTTCAATATGAGTAGGAAAATGAGAGTACCTCTAAACATTTTTTTTTGGGGGGGGGAAGCACTGTCTTTTTAAAAACAGCCAACGGGGTGGGAACCAGTTTACTTGTGGGATCACCTTACCCCAAACAGCCCTGCATCAGCACCTGGTGCTTCCAGGAGGCTGGGATAGAGACTGCCTTTTGTTGTTGCCAGCCTCCTCTGGAGAAAGGATATGAGAGCCAACTGTATGTCATTTAGCCTGGTGAGAAAATTCCTGCCCTCTGAACTGTATTTAAGCCAGGCCAGTGTGGTGTAGTGGTTAAGTGCGGTAGACTCGTCATCTGGTGAACCAGGTTTGATTCCCTGCTCCTCCACATGCAGCTGCTGGGTGACCTTGGGCCAGTCACACGTCTCTGAAGTCTCTCAGCCCCACTCACCTCACAGAGTGTTTCTTGTGGGGGAGGAAGGGAAAGGAGGATGTTAGCTGCTTTGAGACTCCTTCAGGTAGTGATAAAGCGGGATATCAAATCCAAACTCCTCTTCTTCTTCTTCTTCTTCTTCTTCTTCTTCTTCTTCTTCTTCTTGGAGTGCAGAAAGGACCAGTATCAGAAACTTTAATGTCAGTTAACTCTAGTTTTGTGCTTTGTATTTAAACCTAGATTGTTGAGATATTTTTTTGTAAATATTGAATTAATTATGTGTTTGTTAAATTGTTGGATGCTAGTCATTTTTTAATTTACTGCCACACTCTGTAATTCATATGTTTAGATGTTTTAAATGTTTGATGTAAGCCACTTTGAGCATAGCTCGTTGTGGAGAAGTGGCATATAAGTTCACCCAGTCAGTCAATTCCAGAACAATGAGGATCAGCCTCCATGGTCACATGATTGTGCACTCATGTCTGATTTCATCTTCTAAATTCCCCCTGCTTTCTCAACAGAGCCAGTTACTACAGAAAAGGAGGGTGTGCAATGCTCCCTGTCAAGTGGATGCCCCCCGAGGCCTTCATGGAAGGGATATTTACGTCCAAAACGGATACCTGGTGAGCCTGCTCCATATTTTCTATCCATTTTTCAAGCCACCTGCTGCCAGTTGGTTAAATGTACTGTAGCAACCATGTTTCATCTGCAGCAACCTATGTCCTTCCTTCAAAAACACAAGGATCCTTCCAACGTTACATTTAGCCATGTAGGATCTGCAGTGCTAAGTAGCATCAGAAGTCATATGGAAGGACACCATATAATGACTCCTTTCTAATGCCAGCATTGCCCTTCCCAGGAACTGAAGTACTTAGACAATAATCACGACGTGTTGCAAACTCTTCTCATGTGACCTGAGACTTCTGATCCTATGTGGAAAGAAGAGACAGCATAATAACTCTGATGCTGCAGAAGGATCTCGCAGTCAACAAAATCAGTCGTGAATGGGTGTACCACATGACAGGCTTTTTGCCAGTACTGGCCCCAATCCAAGTATATCTGTGTAGTTTTCAGCTTCTGTGACCATATTTCTTTCTCTTTTGTGTCCAGGTCATTTGGAGTGTTGCTGTGGGAAATATTCTCTCTCGGATATATGCCCTATCCCAGCAAAAGTAACCAGGAGGTCTTGGAGTTCGTAACAAGTGGAGGAAGGATGGATCCACCCAAAAACTGCCCCGGCCCTGTGTAGGAAACTTTTAAGGATCTGCTTGCTCCATGGGTTCAGCTTGTCATGTTCTGGCATCTCTTCTAATCATGTTTACTCTGCAAAGATTGTTTTCCAGTATCATATATTTCACCAATCTGCTATAACGACTGGAACCTGCAACGAAATGCTGTAGAGCAGCATATTCAGAGTTCCAGCCAGCCAAGTTGTTTTGCAGGATGTGCCATTCCATTGCATCCTGCCGCCCCCCATCCCAGTATTCCATCTTGCACACCACAACCCACAACAAACCAGCAGCATTCTATAACCACTGACCATGCTTCTCAGTTTTCCCCCCTGATGATTGTTTTGGAGAGTGGGAGAGTTCTGCAAACCCTGAAGTCCCCACAAGCCTCTGATATGTCCCTCTTTTTCATGGACGGTGCCATTAGCCTCATAAAAATTTGCTTCACTATTTTCTGTAGGATAAATTCTTTCATTAGCTGTAATGGTTTAACTTTGCAGTCACTGTCATTTTGGTGGGTACTAACTACCACCTGAGGGACGCGGGTGGCGCTGTGGGTAAAAGCCTCAGCGTCTAGGGCTTGCCGATCGAAAGGTCGGTGGTTCGAATCCCCGCGGCGGGGTGCGCTCCCGTTGTTCAGTCCCAGCGCCTGCCAACCCAGCAGTTCGAAAGCACCCCCGGGTGCAAGTAGGTAAATAGGGACCGCTTACCAGCGGGAAGGTAAACGGCGTTCCGTGTGTGCTGCACTGGCTCACCAGATGCAGCTTTGTCACGCTGGCCACGTGACCCAGAAGTGTCTCTGGACAGCGCTGGCCCCCGGCCTCTTGAGTGAGATGGGCGCACAACCCTAGAGTCTGTAAAGACTGGCCCGTACAGACAGGGGTACCTTTAACTACCACCTGGTGCCGTGTTCAGACTCCTCATCCTCTTATAATAATTCAGGAGTTTTCACCTTCGCTTCTCTTACAAATGGCCTAAGAGCCTCAAATTAAATTTAATGCACATAACAATGTGTGTCCTGATGCTTCCAGGAAATGAATCAAGGTCCCTGCTGTGTTCCCCCCTTATGTAGGTGGGCATTATTTGAGTAACAAGCTAATAGGTAACCTGCTCCATCTCAAGCACTTTTAGCCAATTTTTGGTGTGGCTCGGTTGAACTAAGTTCAGCCAAATTTCAGCTATGTTATTCCCAGGGACACAATCAGAACTCTATTTATGAACTAAGCTCCCTCCCTCCAATGTTACTTTTGATTTGATAGTGGGATAAAATAATCACAGAGAAAACACCAGCTTCAGACATTCTATGTTCAGCAATGCCTGTCCCACTGCTAACTCACAATAGTGTCCTCTGTGGCCAGGAGTGCCCTATAGCAGCTTAGTCTTGTTTGCCTTAGTCCCTTAGCCTGGGAAGGGCCATAGCTCAGTGGCTGAGTGCATGTCTTGCATGAGAGGGCTTGCAGATTCAAGCCCCGCCATCTACAGAAAGGACTGTTGCTTGAAACCCTGAAGAGCTGTGGCCTGTCAGTGTCGAGAATACTGAGCTACTAGACCAGTCGGTTTGATTCTGTATAATAAATAAGGCAGCATCCTAACCCACTCTCCTGCCATTCACCATTTGGTCTTCTGCTCCCATTGCAGGTATCGAATAATGACGCAATGCTGGCAACACCAGCCTGAAGACCGGCCAAACTTTGCCATAATATTAGAGAGGATTGAATACTGTACTCAGGTATCTATAACTTTTCAGTGCAATTATTTTATGCTGTTTCTTCTAAGAAATGCCAGAAGGGGCACATGGAAAAGAAACAATGGGTGAGCCAAGATAACCAGAGCACAACCTGGTTCCAATGTCTCTTGCCCAACCCCTTCCCCAGACCACCTGAAGAAGTGAATTCAGTTGCAATGCAGACCATATATGGGAGTCATTATGGATCAAGTGTGAAGTGCCCAGCAAGAAAACAAGCCAGTGTTCCTTTCAAAACTTGCCTTGAGGCAGGGTGTGATGGTGATTAGGGATGGGGTGTGTGTGTGTGTGTGTGTGTGTGTGTGTGTGTGTGTGGATCCATAGGTTGGATTGCAAAGCAGACTCCTCACCTGATTTGATCCAGGTAGATTCTGAATTGGATCAGATCATGAATCCATTTCAAAAGCTGCAGTCCTTGCTACAAGGAGCCTGAGGGCTTCTGCTCTGATCATAATTTTTTTATTTCCTTTTGGGTCTTCCAGACACCCAAAGCCTGGCTAGGCTGGCACATGGGACTTGGTGACATGTCCTTGCTCTCCCCTGTGCAATTCCCTTTGAGAGTGGTGGAATGATCTCAAGTCCCGTTGCTCTCAGGGGATCTTGCTCTACTCTGTGCAAAGTGCATGGCAGCAAGAAACCACGCATTAGCTGCTCCAGGCTCATCTGCTTGCTCTCTTTCCCCACTAGAGGGAAAGGAAGAGGAAAGCCACGTGCCAGCAGGTCCAATGACCAAACTGGTGGGACAGCATCTCCTTTTTGTCACGATCTACAGTGCCCATTTGCTTGCCCTCTTCCTCTGGGTCCAATCCACATGATCATCCAGAAGGAGAGAGTGCAAGGAAGGCAAGGGGAAGAGGCTGTGTTCTTCTGCCTCCTCGTTCTGGTTACTGTCTGCACGCTTAGAGGATAGCTGAATAGGCAGCAACAGCAAGGAGAAGGAGCAACAGCAACAGCAGGTGGCCAAATAAACTGTGCGCCTGCTGCATTGTTGTGGCAATAGCAAGTGCCCCATGATCCTCACTGCTGGTGCTGCTCCTATCCTTCTAATCTATCCTTTCTACGCACATCCAGCTGACACTGCTCTGTGATTTATTGCAGCAAATCCAGGGGCAGCAGAGCCTTCAGTGCTTTCAAAACCGATCTCTTGGCCATTAGTGCTGTCCAGTAAATCCACACTTCTTTAGAATACCCTGCATTGAAGGAATACATCCCAGAATCAGATGCATGAAGAAATACTGCGCTCATTTAATATTTATAACCCACTTTTCTTCCCTAAACAAAAGTCAAAGTGGCCAACAGAAAAGCAATCAATGCAATAATGCCAGAATTGTTGAACTGTAAAATGTTTCCATCCAAGTATGATGTCCACTGCCACTGGGAGCAAAAAATAATTTTGCTCTCAATAAATTTATATTCTGCCCCACCCTAACATGTCTGAATGAGGTCATCATTTTTCTCCAGATCTGCAAGACATTTAAGTGTTCTGCTGCATAATAACAAATATTATTCAATAGCAGGTTTGTTATAAGGCCATTCAAAGAGGCTTGCTGGATCAGGTCATGAGTCCCGCTAGTCCAGCTACCTCTTTTCCATGGTGGCTAACCAGATGCCTATGGGAAACCACAAGCAGAGCATGAAGGCAATTGCCCCCTCCTGCACCGCCCTCTAGCAACTGGAGCCACTGAGCAATTCAGTCCACATTTAAAGGCAAACCTACCTAATTCACAGTTTCCCAAACAATATGAGAACTGAAACACATATATCCTTTTAAATGTGCACTTCTCTGAATTTTGTAATGTAGTTCTCCAGGTAAGTAATGTGCATCAAGATTCATATACTGGGATAAAATGTCAATAAAAATGCATATATTCTTGGGTTTTTTAGTGCATAGATTTTTCGGGGAAATTGCTTTGCAAAAATATGTAGGCAAGATTGCATACAAGGGTGGAATTCAGTGGCTTGCTGTTAGAAGCATTTTGTCATGGAAAGCATTTCCGATTGCTTTCCTCCTCTTTCCTCACCCTGTACGCTATTCTGGGGGTTCTCCCCACCTCCCCAGAGCCCCTTTTGGGAGGCATGGAGGCACATGGGAGGAAGAAAGGGGGAGAAAGGAGACACAAGGCTGCTGTTGACAGGACTCAATAGCTGACTCCTGCCCCAAAGAGTGTGAAATGCTGGTGAAATTTCATGAGGGTTTTAAGAAAACTGCAAACTGATCTGAAAATGTGGCAAGCTGAACTTAATATTGGAAAAACGAGAAATTGAGAGAAACCAAAACTGACTGATTCAACCATCTCTACCCAAGTATGGAGGTTACGTGGCCTAACAGATATATAGATGTGCTTGCCCTCTGTAGATTTGTCCAATTGCTTTCTGGCAGTGAATTCCATAAATTAATTGCACGCTGTGTGGAAGTAGTTGTTCCTTATAGCTGTCCTGAAAGTCAATTTTATTGGGTGATTGGGCATGCATCCATTAGGAGAGAAAAAATCTTTTCACGAAGCAATGGTAGATTACTCCAGCAGCACTCTGTAGTGTCAAGCAGTTAAAGAAAGCAGCAGCATGTTTTGAATCCCTTGTTTTTTTAATGTAGGATCCTGATGTGATCAACACAGTTCTGCCAGTGGAATATGGCCCCTGCATTGAGGAGGAAGAAAAGGTCCCCGTCCGCCCTGAAGACCCCGAAGCAATCCCTCCGTTGCTAGTCTTGCCGCAGAAAGAGAAAAAAGGTGTTCAGCAGCTCCTGCCTTCGCCACCATCCTTGGCCTTAGCCATCGCTACAGGGAAGGCTCTGGTGAAAGCAGCTAGTGTCGATCCATCAGTCTGTGCTACTACACAGGCCCCCCTGGAAGGGGGACATGTCAACATGGCGTACACTCAGTCCAATGCCGCCACTGAGCTCCACAAAGGCCGAGGGTCCAGAAACAAGCCTACCAACCTCTGGAACCCGACCTACGGCTCCTGGTTTTCAGAGAAGCCCATAGTCAAAAACACTTCACAGGCGGAGAAAGAGGCAACTGAGAGGGAAGGTCCGGGGCATGAAGGGAACTGTACTTTGGGGCCCAGCATTGTGACTGGAAGGCTGCCAAGCTCCTCCCTTCTTCTAGAACCATCTTCGCTGACAGCCAGCGTTAAGGAAGTGCCTCTGTTCAGGCTCCGCCATTTCCCCTGTGGAAACGTTAACTATGGATACCAACAGCAGGGCTTGCCCTTGGAAACTTCAGCCCCACCCTTGTGCCAGCAGCTGCGAGGGCCCTCCCCTTAGGAACAAGGCCAACTCCCCCCACCAGGGCCCCCGGAAAACATCCCATCCTTTTGACTCTCTTCCCGTGGGACTCGTAAGCCTTGGTGCAAACATCGGCGTCACCCAAACAAGCACGAGTGCAGAACAAGATGCCCTTCTGTAATGTGCCAATGCGCTCTGAAGTGCCACCCTTGGAAGCTCTGCTTTTCGAACCTGCAAGAAGCTTCCGTTTGTCAGAGCGCGCACACCCCTTACACACACACTCGAAACACCCGAGGACAACAGTCAGTATTATCTACAAGGCCCCACTCTCAGTTGCATAAAGTCATCTGCATGGTTGTTCTCTGTGCCCTTCCCTGTGCGCTGCTTCCTTCTCTGTTGTTTATGTGCCGTTTCAAGACTCACTGTCAGAGAGTTTAATGTCTGGGGATTTCCCTGTACTGCCAGATGCAGCGTCAGGGAAATCCCTCTTGCTGCCAGAGATTTGAGGAGAGGATGGGGGAAATGTTGCACTCTCGCTGAAATTCAAAATCAGATAAACGTGGACTCCCAAGGGGCATGTACCCAAACAGTAACTCAGCTCCAACATGGCCCTTCCACAAGCATGCACAACTATTGTGGTAGTCTTAAGGGTAGCAGAAACACATTTGCTTCCACGCCTTTGGTCTACAAGATGGAAACTGCAGGAATTTAAGGAGCATGGTGAAGGTCGGTGATTTAGTTTGATTGAAAAGGTGATGCCCTCTCCCCCTTTTCTCTGTTGTGGTTGTGGGACGCCAAGGGTCAAATACTTTATCCTCCGTGTTGTAGTTGGTTATGCCACACACTAGAGGATAAGATTATCGAGGTGGTAAGAATCAGGTTGTTCAACAATGAAATCACCGCTATTATGCTTCAGTTAATACTATGGGGCAGAGTTTAGACAAACAGAAAGTAGTCGATTGCCGTGGTGTGTGCTGACTCCCGTTTTTCCCCAGTGAATAAGGATATGATTTTATTTAGTATTAGAATTGCATTGCCGAACATGGCACTGTAGGAGATGCGCCAAAGCAAGTGTGTTCTAACAAAGGTTTTAGAACAACCACAGTAGCCAACTCTCTAAGTCATTGTTTTGACAAGAGTCAATATCCACACAGAGAAAAATCAGGACTTGAGCATATGATGTAAAAATTACTTGCCAACTTCAGTGCATTCTCAGACTCAAACATACCATCAATCCATGCTTCAGCATATTTCACAGCTTATCTTATCATGCTATCGGAACTGAAACAATCTGTCAAAATATCCTGCAATGAACTGGGGCCCAGAATTGCTCTTGCTTGAGCACAGGCAGCAGAAAGAAAGGCATTAGTGGAGAGGGTAATGCCTGTGATTCTATTGCATAACCATGGTGCTACAAATTAGGAGACCACACCACTATTGCAGTTGACCACTAATAATCCTTGTTTCCCCACTGACACTTTGAGGCAATAGATCACCCCCATGGAAGCTGTATATATGGGCATACAAACCTCGTGCTCACATTCGTTCCCATGAGCAGAGCAAACGAGGAGGAAGCTTGGTTTGTGTCTCTTGCCTCGCTCAAGAACTTATAGCTACTAAATAAATGCAGGTGCAATCCTGTGCACGATTGCACTGCATAAGGCTCATCGATTCAATTGGAATTGATGTATAAATGAAGAAATCTGACCTTCCTGAGTGATAGAGAAAAGAGATCCACTTTCCACAGATACTTGTTTTCTGGAGGAGCAGTAAATCAATGGGGAATGGCCTTGAATCCTTAGCTGCAAATTACAGTTGGACAAATCTAATCATGGATCCCCATTGTACAGTAATGTGTCTTGCTCCCATCACGGGACAACCAAGAACTTTGAAGTGCAGCCAGCTCAAACAGATAAAAGTATTGGGCCTACTTCCAGCCGTCACAGCCACTGAAGGTATTTATATATTTTTTCTTGAGTTCATAAGGCAGCTATAAAAAATGCTTCATTTGAAAAAAGTGTGCCTGCTCACCGAATCAGAGGCAGTGTTCAGTTCATTATAGTTTGGTGGATGCTGTGCCTGAAAGTCCCACTTGCTCACAGCAGGGAGCATGTCTCAGATGACCCCAAGGGGCAATTAAAAAGTACAACTTAACACGCTGCAAGATACCTGAGCTTAAAATAATGGTCATCTGCTAGAAACAGCCACGTTCCTGTGCTGTTATTACAATCCACTGCAGATTGGCTGGTTCATGTGCGTGATTAACATCAAGGCACACTGCAGAGCCTCACAGTCCAACCCACTCCTGGAAGAAAAAGCACTAGCCAGGAGCTTCTCCAGTACAGCATCCTTTTGTGTTGCAGTTGTGGGGGAAAGCTCATGAAAAGCTTCCTTAAAAACAGGCCTCCCCCCCCCCCCCGCATCACCACCACCCAAAGTAGAGGAATATGAATGGCAACCTTAGAAGCATAGAATGAGCTGTGTCTTATACCATTACTTGTTTGTGAAGGTTCTACGCCACATTTGTAGCATGTCACAACTCTCAGCAGCAGAGCTACTTATCCAGGGTCTTTCATTAGGGAAATGAAACTAAATCCTGTTACACACCCAGCAGAGGTGTGCAATAAAGGATTTCAGTCACAATACTGTAAAATAGCTCGTAGTATTTATACTTGGTGAGATAAAGCTTACCAACACATATGCTTTGTTAGCCGAGGCACAGACGGAGGTTTCCGTATCACCAGAAATAAATGGAAACACTAGCAGAGGCAGGCTTTGCTCCTTAAACGACACCACCTAGGCAGAAGCCGTTTCCATGACTTTATCATGAGTTAGGCAGCAAGGAGTATGAAACAGCTGGAGCACCATCACTGCTTTCTAAATGTATTTTTATTTCCCAGTGCCTGATCAGAGACTCACATTGATTCTACAGCATTAAAATCTTAATAGAGACTATACAGGAGAGCAAAATCATGAGCTTTCAGCAATTCCAGTGCAATGTTCACTTCAGCGTCTGTGTTTGGCCTTTTATAGCACCAGAGATTAGCCAGGAGACACAATGGAGCTTTTGAGACAAGAAAACTATGAGCAAAAACTGCCTCCCAAAGTTATTTACCCTATTTGTGGGCAGTAAATGTAGGAAGGTCATTTATCCTAAAGCAATTGGGGCAGGGGGGTAGAATTGGCCCAGAAGGTATCAAAGGGTATGCAAGGAAAAAGTTTGGTTTGGTTCATTCACCTAACCCTAACCCTGAAAGAGGAGGACTGGAAGACAGCCCATTACTTCCTTCAAGCGTCATGGTTTAGGGGAATCTGCAAAAGACAACTCTCCACAAACCTGTCAGAAAATTATTTTCTCTTAGAGGTTTTAGGCCAACTCTCATCTAAGAATTGACTCTGCTTCCTGTGACGTTAGAAATGTGGGAAGAGTCCCATATGCTCAAGTGCAAAATACAGTCCGTTGATTTGAGTAGCCAATGAGTGCATTTTCTCACCCAATCCAGTGCAGGAGGACTCAAAAGCAACCCCCAACTCAGCTTTTGTGGGGCTTGCCTCCAAGTGAGCATAGGAGTGCAGCACCATCGAACGTCCCTCACACTTGTTTCCTTTCCCCATAAGGACGCAGAAGTTCAAAATGAAGTGGTTTTGGTGGAGCATTTCCCAGTCATTTTTCAGTGCATGACTAGGTACGGCAGCTGTATGCCAAGACTTTCCTTTTATGTGTCTGCTCATATAGGTGAGGCCACCAGATACGTCTAAACCTTGAGCAAGTACTACCTTTTCAGTGTCCTTTCACAGCTCCGTCACCTCACCCACGGAAGTCTCAACGGAGTTATGTCTGAACCTTCTGTACCCAGCCTCTCCTTCTGTATCAAGGCTTTGTCATTAGGAATGTGTGTCACATCTGTACAGAAGCTTATGCAACATTGCTCATAAATCAAGGGCCTATGCGTTTCAGGGATCCTTCTCAAGATAAAATGCTAATATATGATCATTAAGTATTTTGTATTGTATTTGTATTGTAATCAAGTGTAGTGAAGCTAAAGGCATGAAGACAAAATAAAATGACTGTAAAGGAAAGCATGCGCCTGGCTGTGTATTCTCTCTACAATGGCTCACCAAACCAAGGAGGCTTTTAATTCAGCACATGAACTGCTAAGCTTGGCCAGGGGGTAAAATGCAAGTGATCATTTAGCAGGACAATATTAACTAAAGTCCCATTTTGACTCCCAAAGTCATGCAAAGTTCTTGTTGAACTAGAATGAAAGTTACCCAGGCTACCTGGCGGAGATGACAAATTTCCTATACTGGTTACAGAACAATTAATTGAGATGGGGAGGTACAGCTCTTCTAAATGCACCACTAATGTCCTTTTAAGGCCTGGCTGATCATTAGGGTAAGTTGGATTTCACTCCAGAGAAGCTCTTCTTGTTAATATTTCTGTCCACCCTTCCTAATAAATGAGCCCAGCACATTAACCCCCAGTGGTAAAGGAATTCAATCAAAAATAAAACATTGTTATCTAAAAACATTTAAAAAGCCACATAGCTTCACAGGCAATAATTTTCAAGGTTGCCAGGAACAGTATCTTTCACCCATCAAATACCTGGGTGAACAGGGGTGTTTTAAAAATCATCCTGAAAGTTAATTATCAGGGAGAACACACCTCACTAGGGATGGCATTCCGCAAACGGGGAGCTGCCACTGAGAGGGCCCTGTCAACAAAGAGCCCTACATTATACTGGCACCGGGTTACTGGGTTAATAAAGTAGTTACCTTTTTCTATATTCAGTTCATTTTATCCCTTGGTGACTATGCATGGCCTACTGGTATATTCATTTCCTTTCTAACATACAGCAGAACTCATTCTGCAAGCAGTCCTTCTTAATACTGAAGCCATGTAGATTTTATGCTGATAGTTTGGACAGACATGATCTGCAAGAGCAAATAGGAAAAATGAGGCAGTTCATATTAGCGCAATAATTTTTCTTTCAATGGTACCAATGTTTACCTTGTAAGTCACAATCCCTAGAGGAAGAGGAGGGCAAAAGAAAGATACCATCCGACCAATACATAGGGAACGCACAAAACATTTTTATGTTCAAAATCAGCATGTCTGTAGAGTACATCAATATATTACAAACATAAAAGGTGTTTAGAACATCTGTTTTGTTATATTACAGCTGCTGCTTTCTATCCTAAATGCATAATGTGCAAGTTAACATTATAAGAAAGCGATTCAAAAAAAGGATACTCGGTCAGTGATAGCTCAGTTTTCTTAAAAGCAACGGGCATCGTTAAAACCAAACGACCATTAACAGCACTCTCATTTAAAAATACATTTAAACACCCAAGGAAACAGATGTCAGACATGGCAAGATTCAGTGCATCAAGGTACATCTGGATCCTCAAATGCATTTCTGCAGTTTTCAGATGGCTTTTAATTAAGAACAAGTTTATAATCACAGTTTACAACCATTGCCCTTAGTTTAAAAATACCCATTAGCTATAAAGCAATATTGCAGCTTCGTCGTGCTTAATGTAGATCAGGGGGAAATGGTTCTAGCAATGTTTAAAAATATTGTCTATACACTTTTATAGACAGCTAGAATGTAGCTTTACTTTTGAGTGCAATTTGACAAGATACCTTGGCCAGGATTCAACTAATGAGTCCCACTAGTGGAAGGCTGTGCAAGGACTGCTGTTAGCACAAGGGAGGCAGTTACCATAACACTACACTGAATTCTTCCCCTTATTTTCAAGGATGAAGCCACTTAGTGACTTCTGTGGCTTTTAAATTATCTGAATCCATTTAATAAGGGTTCAAAATATGTCATAACAATTAAAATAAGATATATTTTTTAACAATACAATTTATAAATTTATAATCACTCACTTATTTAAAGAGAAGCATAGTGCAGTAAAATAATCATGTTTTAAAAGGTGTTTTTTTTATTTCAAGGTACATCATGCTTCTAGGCAACAATGTAGCAACTACATTATATAAAAATGGCAAGGGCTTCAACACCTAGCACTGTGACAAGCTTTTCCTAAGGTTGGCGTCTACAGTGATACAGAATTCTTATTGCACATGGGATATTTGGGATTCAAGCACCGAAATATAGGTCTCAAATGTTCTGCCCAGAGCCAGGAAGTGGTGGCCTGTGGGCAAGATGGTCAGCTGCCATATGGCCTAACTCAACCTGCAGTGGCTTGGCATAGTAAGGCAAGCTAAAGGTTCCAGGTCAACCAGGTGACGGTTCTAGAAGAAGAGGAAACTTGAACCTGCAACAATCATGGAATCTCCCATAGGCTTTCTACAAGCTCCTCCTCCCAGAAGACTAAACTAGGGTGTTTTAACCAAGGTTAAGAACACTGTCAAAAATCAGAAGGAAGAAAGGCTCCCTCATCACCTACCCATGAGTGGGCACGTTTCCTAGAGGAGGAGGTGGTGCAAATCCATGCACACATTATCTTAAACCCAATGCTGCTACCTCACCTTAAAATGACCCGTTGGCCAATCTGATTGCTGGCTGGAGAGCTTTGCTGAAGGGCATTTGATGCATGCAAAACGTTGCAGTGTTACAGGCTTCAGTCTTGACTAACAAAATAATTTCTCCAGAACTTGAGTGGGGAAACTCTTCAGAAAGGAGAAATAAAAGTGCATTAATACTTGTTCCAATGGCATTTTTGGAAAGTGCTTCTGGCATGCTGCTGCCTTTAAAAGACACACGCATGTCCATTATACAGTATATCTCTATATACTGTAACAAAAAGTGCTTTTACTATTTACCTGAAAATATTTGTGCTGCTTTATTCTTTTTTCCCTTTCTTCTATTCAGGATGCTTCTGTATGTAGCATGGAAGGAGCACATTTTTTCTCTCTTTTCAACTGGTTGCTTTGTGCTTGGAGGATCTGTCTGGATAATAAGCTACCTGTCTCACAACATTTTCCCCCTAAATACTGTCACTTCCCTCCCTCTTTATTGCTATTTTTTCCCCCAAAGAAAGTGAAGACTGTTTAGCAGGTTGACAAATCCTGCTGCTTGTTTAACAAGCTCTGCGATCTCAAGTCACTTTACAGCTTCATTAGAATGTGGGATGGAAACATCATTTGTAAAGCAGCAAAGCATGTCAACATGGAGCCAGATAAAAAACAGATTATTCAAATAACAGGACTGCTCAACCCCAAGTTGTTTTTTTTAGTATGTAAGCAGCTTTCGGGTGAGGACCGTTCTGTAGGGGAAGCTATTAAGATTTCATTCCTCAAGAGTCATAAGGCAACTCCAATCTGGCTAGAGCTGTGCAAGTGTTATACAAATGCAGTTTTAGGACTTTGGGTAAGGCAGAACTTCATGCAGGCGATGGCAGGATTGTCTTGTGTGCTTTATTTCTTATGCCCTCATCTCAAGAGCTAGAGGAGTTTGCTTTCAGCAGATATCATCCACAAGTTTTGCACCGTTGATCCCTCGGTAAGTGACTCGGCTCGGCCGCACCAAGACTCCATAATTTGGCTTGCAAGTAAAGTACCGCTTGTCACCCACGGAGCCGTCATTCTTGCCTTTGGCACTTCGGAGTTCCAGGCCAAGCCAGATGCCTGGAGCAAAGTCCGTGGGCCCAATGTAGCGAATGATGCCCATCTCACTGGAGCTGCTCAGGAGGACCTGGGAGCCTTCGTGAAGCTTGACGGGCCCCTCAGCACTGGCCGTAGTGGTGCTGCTCCAGCTGCGTCGCAGGGAAGCGTTTTTTGACCTGGGCAGATAAAAGGAGGCAACAGGTGGACCATTTGTTAAATGCACAAGATACTAAGATTGCATTTGCACACAGAGGAAATCTGCCACTGACTTACTAAGACTTCAGGGCCTCCTGATATGGACCAGATTGCTTCTGATCTGGCAATGGCAGTAAAACATGCCTTCAGTTAAAGGCCACGCAACACACTCATCATCAACCCAAGAGAAAAGCCTGTGTATCCTTGTACCACAGCTCCAAAAGAGCTATTTTTAGCAGGGTTGCAGCATGGGAAGAAAGGGTTAAGAGTCTCCTCTTTGCCTGCTGTGTTCCCAATAATTATTAACCCAACTCACCCACCATTTTCATTTTTAAAAGAATGTGTTAAATGCAAAAACACATTTGATGTCCTGTCTAGTTTGGCCCTAAGCCAGCTCCTGTTAAAAGGTAGTGGGGAAATTGGTGTGTGTGTATCAGCTGGAGCATTTTGGCCTAGCTGTTGAGCTGGCAAGGAATGTGCACGATAATTCTCAGAAGTGGGATCCTGGCGCAGGCCTATTTCTTTACCATTCTGATTTCAGTTATTAATTCTAAAATGTACAGCCAGCTTTTTCTGACAGCCATCACTGTGCAGGAACAAGACTTGCAGGCAAGCAAAAAAGCATCACTGCCATTGAGACTTCCTATAACCATTCAGGATTAGTGCTGGGAGTTATTCAACAATATCAAATTGACTCTGTGGGCTACGACCCTAAAGACACTGGAAAGGGAGTAATCTCCAGTGAACACAGTAGACATACTTCTGGGTAAACATGCATAGGATTGCACTGTTAATCACTAAGATGCATGCCTCCAGAGACAAAAAGAGTGCTGAATTCATCTAATCATAGCAGACATGTATTCCCTTTTCTAAGAGCCACTCACTTGACAAAGGAGTTTCTCCTGTTTAATTCCTTTTGGGAAGACGCAGAGGTTGTGCTAAAACTTCGTCGGAAACCTGAACATGATAAGAAAAACAAACTTCAATTCAGTCTATTAAGTGGCATACATACATAAATATCTAAGCCTATTTCCCCTCAATATCCATAGAGCACACAAAAATCAAAGTCTTTCACCTTTCCTCAACACTCATTTATTCAGTTCCTTTTTTACAGTGCTGTTTTCTCAGGCTCCATTGAGCTGTGATCTGTCCCACTGAAAGTAATGGACACTGCACAGCATTGCTAGAATGACTAGTTCAAAATCTTGCCAAGTCAGCCCCAGAGCCTGGGTCTTAGGAAACAAGTCCACAAACAAAGGCAAGTTAACACAGCAGTAAAACCACACAACAGGTAGGCAAGGTTATGCCC